CCATTGACCTTCAAATACAATAGTAAATCTTTGCTTTACTGGAGTACTGGACTCTTCGCTGGCCAATAACTGAAATAGTAACTGTGCGAATGGAATAAATTTTCCTGATTTTCTAGACGAATGTTAGAGTATCAGGCAGTATTAAGACAGATCCGATGCAAAATAGCCGAGGATCTGAGGGAGTAGTTCACAATACCTTAGTGTTCTCATTGCATTCCTTAGTCCGCACCATGCAGTCAGGGAGACGCTTTACAGCAGATATTATAGCCTCATGCGTCAAAAGCTCTTTCATAATTCTGTAAAGCCGTCGTACCCTCGATTAGAAAACTGCACGTCCCTGAACCAAGTCAAGAAGATGACTTTCCCACTTGTAATCGCCATTCCGGTAATTTATACACCCCCCAGGTAGTACCCCTCTCTCCTTGATCCTGGAATTTGCCAATGTAAATTGTTTCGCCTCGCCGGTGCGCTGACACTCGTTGAGGCCGATGTGTGAGATCTCTAAGATCTGATACACGGTGAGCACGAGGCCTGCTGACCCCCGTGGTGGAACTATCGCTATAGAAGCAAAGCCCAGACGACGTGTCATCGGATGTATCCTCCAGCCATCGCCATCCACTTTTGCTATCTTGCTCGTGGTGAAGGTGGGAATGGAAATGGTCATTTCCGCAAGGCTTAGTTAACTATGTGAATCTTGACCAATGATACGGGTGAGTATTTGAAAGTGTGATGGCGAGTCATTGGCTGCATTAGTGGTAACTTTCTGGGTGTACTGTAAGAGTACCCTTATTTGACTGAGGCTGAATGGGGAGTGGACACCGACAAGGGTTAGACGAACCTGTCCTGGCAGCATCCCATTCCGGTGGAACAAGCGGCATCAATGTGCTACATATTGAGTCAAGAGAGAACCAACCAAAATCCATGACACGGCGACTCTAGGCAAGATTAAGTGGCAAGTAGCAAGGTTCTTTCGTGCAGCGAAAATTACCTTGCTTCACATTGAATAACCTACCTCTTAACATTGACTTTGATGACATGATTCTTCCCAATAATGTTGAACCCGAATAGTCTATTGGGCAATGTTACAGGACTGAAATTTGTGCGTCAAATGCAATGGCGGACGACAGAGGAGTATTCTATTTAGGGGACATAAGCCCATAACCTCAAGAGTTTCATAAGTGCTAAACCTGCCTCTGGTGAGAAGACACAACTTGTCCGCAGCTGGTGGTTTATATGAGGGGAAAACCGGACCGAATACAGAAAGATTACACTATAGGTGTTGCCCGATTTGGACCAGCCGTGCCGGTCAGAGGGCAGCTCACCACACGATTCATGGCTGTGGTTGCCTCCCATTTGGCTCTTATGCCCAGCCAGACTGCAACTAAGCAGCGTAATATCACTTTGCTGTCTTAAATGATTGCCTGTGCCCTGCGACGCATCCTACCTAACATTTCAACTGTCAGAGGCGCGAAGCACAGTCATCGGCCCCATCACACCCCTGTGACGTGCGAATTGAATACTTGTGGGCGAAGATCGTGGTGGATACTAGACAAGGATAAGCAGTCAAGAAGCGGTAGAGATCAAACGCACCCAAGTGTGACATTATTTGAAGGACAATCTCTGGGGGTTTTTTTGTCCAACATAAATTCAGAAGCAAAAAGTAGACAGACAAACTTAGGCTGAATGGATAGTAAGCAGACCTCAAGATGATGACACACGGGCGAATTTGATGGCGACTGTGGAGAGCAAAGTACTCAAGGTAGTAACCAAGTAACAATGCGAGATTGATCGCGAAGAACTAAATACATGATGCTAAGTGAGTGTTTAAATATCCAGTCCTTCTTGGTGTTGGTGAATTGGTACTAGGCCGCTTCCTTGGCCTGTTGGATGAAAGTTCGTTCCCAGCCACTCCTTGGTGCGCAGGAATCCACCTAAGCTCTACTCGGACGCCATTGGCTGCATGTCACTTGATCAAGCCCAGACAGCCTTCCAGGTAGACCTGTCCTGACGACATACGTGGCTGACAGAGCGCCTTCAATGCCGCTTGGCTTTCCGCGAAATTGACGATGCCGTTTCTGGCCTGTTCTGTCCTAGCTATCCTAGACTTACTCATAATATCAACAAAAAGCTGGGTGCAACGCCAGTGGATGGCTTTCTAGGCAGCAACTCAATGTAAAGCCAAGGTGAGAGAAGCGAATTTTGAGTTAACTTGCATCCTTTTTTTTTCTTTCGTACAATTTATCGCACATACAAAGATACTTGCCAGTTAATCATCGATTTGCCCAGGACTGTCAACGTTAACGACTTTATCATAATTGGCACTCTGCCATTGAGGCTAGTGTATATCCCTAACCGGGATTGGACTTATGTGGTGGCCTTTATCACCCAAACAGCCTTGTTCTTTAAACTCATCTCATGGAAAACCAATCCTGCCTCTCATTTCATGTGTGTTACATCATTAAACAGCACAAATGAAGTCATTTGATCCCTCATTCCCAGTTTCTCTAATTTTCACTTCTTCCTCTGAATGCAGTTTGGTTCAAAAGCTCACCGGGAATTTTGTCCGAAACAAGACGTGAGCAAAGTTTCCTAACCTAAACAAAAGTCTGGCGAATCCAGATCCCATTTTCAATGGCAAGATCCACGAATTTGAAACCAAGCAAAGCATACTGCAAGAAATTAATGGCGGTCCTTCCAAATTGCGAGTCGCAATCAAAAATGATTGATCGAGGTAGGGCCTCGCCGTCACGAAAGGAGTTATAGTGACGTAGAAGTATGCCTCGACGAATGTGCGAACAAATATCAGAGCTTAGGCACACAGCTTCAAGAAAAGGAAGAATGGGATTCAAGGTTGGCATCAGAAAGCCTGACGAGACTAATAAAGTATCTACAATCCGGAGGGTCAATTAATCTAACTATCTGGGTGAGAGAAGACTCTCAATATGATTGATTCTAGTAACTCCTACTCCCCATTGAGAGACTACCAGAGTGTGTTATTGACAGAAGCTTCGGCATTCACTTCTATGAAGTAGGATCAAAGATCTTGTGAGGCAGCTCTGGACGATATGTTCTAGGCGTGGAAGAACGTGCGCATGACAGCCAATGTTAAACCAACTCAGTTCAATCAAGCTCGAAGATTGTCTATCCTTGTCCGACTTTATGAACAAAATACACCAAGTCAAGGCTGACCTCAGAACGGTCAAATACAATATGGCCGACGACATGTTCGCTGACGCTTTACTTCCCGGTCGCCCTCCATATTAACGTACATTTAAAGATAAGTATAATAGGGTTCGCTTAATATAGGTTACCTTTATGAGTGTCTATATTTGAGGAAGCCTAATAACTTTAACTGAATGAGAGGAGGGCCCGAGATAAGGCTAGGAAGGATGCAAACAGTAATGTGACTACTATTGGAAAATTAAGTTTCTCTAAGCTGGTTTTGGGAGCCTTCTTGACAGGCACTTCCTGTACAGCAGATACATGGCTAGCCGACACTGGAGCAAATATGTACATCGTCAGTGTCATCAAGTGGTTCAAGGACAATACTTTCATTTAATGAATTCAAATATCAACACCGCAGATGGATCTAATACCCTTGAAATTAAAGAGTGGAGGAACTGTTCAGCTCATTCTTAAGAGCCTCGATGAATTCCCAGTTAGAGTGCCTATGCTCCTCGAGCTCAGTGCAAGCTATTCTCAGGCGTCTTGTCTTGTTTATTCGGAAAGCAAAGGCCACAGGCGTCTATAACGGCAATCACATGACCTGGGTTAATAATTATGGACACCCTATCGGAAACGCCGTCATTGAAGAGGGTCTATATCGCCTGGACGCCAACAAGATTTCCTATACTCCCTAGTAAATCTGACACAGTCGAGTGCTGTTGCAGCCACAGTTGACTTCGATGACCCTCTGGGCTGCTTAATGTTGTCCACCTGCTCCTAATTTGGGCTCCATTGACCTGAAAAATAAATGTCTGTGGGAGAGAAATCCATCGTGAGATGGTGTCTTTGCCTTAAAATCTTTCCCTCCGGCCCCATGAGCCACGGCGGATAGACGTAGGGTCGGTGAGTGGATTGCATTTTTTTAGTAGGTGGTGATCGTATGGTCTTGGTCAAAAATATTGCTGCGGTCGATTAACAAGGAAGGTAAGTAAAGGCTGGTGGTTTTTACCTGGGTGAATGAAGATTGGGTCAGGAACCACTGTCTCAAACAAGCCGGGCCAGCGATAAGCCCCCGGTCTTGCATTCGATTGTTATATGCTTTTGCAGGAGGCTTCCAACTGTTAGCATCAAGTTTTTTTTTCATTATCACTATCGTAAGCATAGAACGGTGAGGGTAACACGCTGAAGGCATGGGTGTCGAGACAACACGTTTTTTTAAGCGTGCGGTCTGACCGAATGGGTGTAGTTCACCAGCAGCTTGAAGTCACATTCTTGCCCATATTGGGGCATCCCGCACGACATAGAAAGTTAACTTGATCCATAAGTTATCCGTACACCCATCCAAAATTGCGTCTATCCGCCTACCTACTTCAACCATGTGTTACGAGGCAGACTGTCAGCAAACTGTGGAGGATTAAGACAGCCAACCAAGCACCTTTAAACAGGAACATCTGCAGGAGTTGTGTGTATTCAGTCTTATCAAAAAAGATATATATCACATGGAAGGTGTGTGTAGAAGCAAGTGGGGACGGCTTGAAAATGGTTCTCACTCGTTTCATGATTTACCACAAATTGCTGACATGGCCCCGAGGAGAGGCAAATAAATTCTAATACTGATGGGCCACCAATGCCTTGATAGCCCTTTCTTGGACGATATCGTGGGTTCAGCTTGCGCTCCCACAATATCAGAGATAACCAGATAGTGATTCCTCTCCCGCCTTTCTCATCTTTTAAGGGGATGGATCCGGTAAATTGAAGTTGGTTGGACAGGCAGAAGTCCCCTTCTGAAAGATGTACCAAGTGCTACTCAGGCTGAGCCGTGAAATCCATGCCGCCTGGAGTGAAATCCGCCTGGTATTAATAAAAATGTTTGATGTTTGATTTAACTATAAGGTAATTCAAGAAACTCCATTGAAAATGAGAGCAAAGGACAGCCAGAAGTTGATTGTCCACCACATTGAAAGAAAAGCTTTCAGACCCTAGGTGATGTATGACAGGAGAATTTTTCTCGCGTTATGAGGAAGTCATCATTTCCCTCGGTCAGTTGAGGGTATTCCGTCGCTATCTGAGACAACAGATTGGGTAAGAAATTCTTGGTAAGTGTGGGAATCCAGTAGCTCACAGCCTCTCGCGCAAGAATAGAACAGATTTCTTCCAATTCTTTCTTCTTGACGGTTGTCCAATCATCAGTGAAACCACAGGTGCCCATGTAAAGACCCCTACTACTAGCCTGAGCCCGCGCAAAGAATATAGAGAGGTGACAAACCCCGGAGAAAAACCCTTGTTGTCCGAAGGTACCGGGATAATTTCCTATGCGCAAGAGAACTTCTGCCCACTCCTTTTCGGCATCTGTGAAACGCTCCTGTAGAAGCAAGACTCGTGCAGACGCGACAAGTAATCGTACGCGCATCCACCGGTCCACAATATCCAGATCTGAGACAGCTTCAAATTCTTGAAGTTCATTTTTCAAGTTCTCAATATCACCTAAAATTTGGTCATATTTGTGTTTGGAGATGTCTGTTGTCACTTGAGCATGTATGGCTTCGGCAATTTTGACATCAATCAGGGATATTTCCAAGCGTCTACGAGCTCTGGAAAATCGGCGATGTTCACAAAGAGAAATGGTCTTGATTTCCAGCTCAATCTTCGAACGTGCAAGCTCTGAACGGCCTTCTACACAGAGAAGATCAGCCAATCGGCAGATGATTTGGAAGCGATTGGGGTCGATCCCATTTTTTTCACTTTGAGAAAGGACAGGATAATAACCCATTAGGAGGACAGTGGCTTCCTCCAGATGGCCAATGGACTGATGGAGTTTAGAGACCGTGGACAACCTTTGAACAGCGATAGACAACTCCAAGGGCGAACTTTCCGTCGTCTGAATCGGCCATAAGTTATTTAAGACAACCATCTCTCGCATGGCTCGAGCAGAGTGTCCAAGTTGTATGAGATTTTCCAAATGAGACAGCAGTATCAAACGTTTGAGTGTGCGCATTCGCGCAGAGTCCACTTCAATGTATTGAGACCAATTTTGAAAGAAAGCAACCAACTTTTCGGAGAGAGAGAAATCCCCTTGTAATCGTGCAATCTGACTTCGCCGGAGAATAATGGAAACTTGTAAATGGCAGGGAATCTGATCGCCAAGAAGCTTGACGGCATTGTCGAGTAATTCCATATGGAGAAGTGAGGAGCCCAGTCGGGCTCTTGCAATGAGGACCTCAGCTAACTCGAGCTTTGTCGAATTTGACAGCGGTAGCTTATTTGGCTTGCGTACGTTGTACAACTGATCAACAATAGGAGTGAGAACCCTGCCATCTTTCCAGAAACTATCAAAATATTCCGTGTTAGCTAGGAGGTTTTTGATAGAACAAAGACTGACACGGTATAATCACCTTCGATCAAGAATAGGGTCGCGAGGAAAAACATGACACACAACTTTCAGGGCGAGAATCGACCAAGGGTGACAGTTTCCCGAGGTAAGAAGTAAGGGATCCATTTGGTGGGCCTGGGCTGTGATGCAATATGACTTTCCGGAACCAATCTCGTAATCTTCGAGACGGATCCACGAGAAGGAGAGTAATTCCCGTATCATCTCATCAAAGCACTTAGGCTCCGAAAGCCCACTGAGTAGGCCAGTAGATTCCACATCGAACGACGCGCGAATTGGAACTCCATATTCGTTCCAACGCCATTGAGGACAACCCAATCTTTCGAACAATAGTTGTGGTACCCCATACTTCCCAAAAGCAGCCAGAAAGTTCAACAATTGTAAAGCCGGAGCGGATGGAGGAGGAACATCTTCAGGAGGTGCGGTAGAGCACGGTGTCCCGAAGGGCTGTTCGATTCGCCTCCTCTTTGCACTGCGATCTGATCCAGGTGTGTTAACATCACGTTCCTCGGTCGCAACATCGTTCAAAAGGGCTATATCTTTCATCCCAGATATGTAAGAATTGCCGGTGAGAGTCGAAGAGCTTTCTGATACTAAAATTGTCGATCAAGGTTAGTTAGATCCATACGCCACAGAAGATCGTTTACCAGCAAATCGTAAATAGCAAACTCACATAAAAGTCTTGCCTCGATTTCCAGTGGTTCACAACGCAGCGAGTCTTTGTGCCGAATGGAATATATCAAGATGGATATTAAATTTTCCGAAGAAGTAGTTTTCAGCGACTTTGCGGGGTAACTACAGATCACGAGCAGAGCATGTGCCGGCCCGACATAGTTAGTTATGAGCCAAAGTATTGAGTCAACTTGATGGGCTCTGTTGGTGTAATGATTTGTTATTGGTTGCAGGTTGTGAATGCCCTTCTTAATATACGTTCGTATAGATGTGGCGGTCGCCTTTCCCAGCATTGTAATGCGGTTTTTGTTGGAGCCAATCCACGAGGACAGCTGCGGCCCCGCCGCGGTGATTTTTTTGGCTGTTTCATCGAGAGTTTCTAGAAACTCCACAGTTTCCTTTGAAAATATCTTTGTCTCTCCAGCAGCGATTAATTCGCAACTGTTTCCGGCCTCGCATGAGGATTCGCCTGTCTGGCTGGTGTCGTTCTTCAGCAAGCCTAGAGCATACTCCTGTAGTACATGCAGTAGGTTTTGAATCTCCACTAGTTGCTTGCGGGATAACTCGAGCTTGTCACAAGCAAGAAAAGACGAGAAAGTGAATGACCTTTCCTCATTTAGATGGATCACAATATCCATGGTGCTCATTGGATCCACAGATGACAGTTGATCCATGAAAGAGGGCTGCAAGTGAAAGAGGGCTGCAAGTGAAAGAGGGCTGCAAGTGAAAGAGGGTTGTAAATGAAGGGGGGTTGTAAATCAAGGGGGGTTGCAAATCAAGGGGGGTTGCAAATCAAGGGGGGTTGCAAACCAAGGGGGGTTGCAAACCAAGGGGGGTTGCAAACCAAGGGGGGTTGCAAATCAAGGGGGGTTGCAAACCAAGGGGGGTTGCAAACCAAGGGGGGCTGCAAGTGAAGGGGTGCCTTACGTGTACGAAAGCGTGGTCTGTGTCATGCCAAGGCTTTTATCTTAGCGTTACTTTCCATAAATTCCTCACATACGGTGGACACCCCTAGGACCCACATTGCCTTGATTATATAATATTCTGCGGGCCGTAACTCCTCCTCTAGTACTTCACGATATCGATGTCAGTCTCAGAAACCTTAGCCAAGTAAACCCGATAGGCTCTGTTAAGCGGAAAAATAGATGGATGATGGAAAATATATAACATATAACGCTGTATACATCTGTGGGTGATCCTATCTCCGAAATATTGAAAGTGGTATGTCCCATTCTAGGCGGTCTGGATGTGGGTCCCGAGGGGTGTCCAAACTTTTGCGTAGTCACAGTACATACAGTGAGTGGCCTTTCAGACGGTACTTTCGATTACACGTGAAAAACTGCCCTCAGGTCCCATACATGGCTGCGCGATGATACTTCAAATAGGTTACGTTACGTACGTACGTAAGTCCTGGCCAAGCGGATCACCAGACCACGGATCACATGGCGCTAGTCCTCGGTGTTACCATAAAATACAGCATAATTCTGAGGTGCCAGACTTGTCAGAGCAAGTACAGTATGCATGTCTCGGCAAATAGATAAAGCGGAACAAAATGGTTAATAGAACCAAAAAGTACATCCTACGATAAGGTACCGCTCAGTACGATGTATTTATCTGGATTATCAATCACGCCCGAAATAATTTTTCAGTTTATAAAAACATCTAGAAGGATATCATTAATCAACGCCGAGGTACCACAAGATCATACAATCAACCTTTAGCGTTGATATTTGAAGTCATGGGATATCGAATTTAGTATGGTATTTGGGTGTGTTAAAGCTACGAGCTTGCAGTGAGTTACATAATGTCGCTGTATGTTTCACTTTACTGCATATCCATGCACAAGAGGATTTGGTGATGCTCGGTTACATTGCATGGGCGTATGGGGCGGCAGAAGAATTAGTGGCGGTGGAAGACGGCAAAGGCGCTTAGTTAATTGCAGGCCCAGCCCACCTGTTGAGTTATCAGACAAGCGTCACATTCCATATTTTAGTACGGCTACTCTTTTTGATGTGGCTATCATGCAAAATATTATCTGTAATTCTTTTCCGGCTTGATTTTAAATATAAATCGTAGTCGCTTTGTCTCCCAATCTGTTTAAGCGTTGAGATTGTTTCAGCGACTCTTCGGGATCGTTACGTATGAGATCCAAGGCTCCCAATAGGTCCTTGCTCAAAGAAGAAATGCCATCCTTCTGGTGACCTGAAAGCATAAGTGGAGTGGCATCACAGTGGGGTAACCAGGGGCCATGCCATTTTATTGGATGGTATTGGATCAACCGGCTCCACATTGAGACTCAAGAGGACTGCGCCAAGATAGGCCGTGTAAATGATATCCGTGCCCAGCCTCTTTGTACGCCCCATCACCTTCGGGGGTTGGGGCTTCTATGCGAAAAGTTAATCTACCCGAAAAATCAATCCCCCCATCTTCACAGAGTCAATTGACTGCTCATCAACCACCAACCATTGAAATATGCCTAAATTTGATGAGAATCAGCTCCAAAAAGCCGTTTCTGCCGCTAAAGAGCAGGGAAACCCGAATTTGGCCAAAATTGCGCGTGATTTTGGCGTTGCCCGCCACCTGCTCCAAACGCGTCTTGCCGGTCGCGCTCCTCACTCGGCGCGTTCCCCGACTGGCACTAAGTTATCATTGCTCCAGGAGTAAGCTGTGCTTCAATGGGTGGTACGGCTAGACGAATTGAACGTTTCGCCTACCCACGAGATGATTCGGGGGTGTGCAGATGGGGTTTTGAAGAGGAACACGTCTGAGGGTAGCGACCCACCTCGAGTCGGCCGCTGCTGGTCTTATAATTTTATCAACCGACAATGCAAAAAACACCATCAATCAGGATTGGGTCTTCAAAAACCACGAACCCTGGAGAAGAAGCGTATAGACACTGCGATTTTAGTGATATTATCAATTGGTTTGATCGTCTTAAGGTTGTGATTGAACAATATAATATCCAACCTATGAATATATACAATATGGATGAAACCGGGTTTCCCTTGGGCAGGGCTCATCACAGGCTGTAGTAACAGTTTATAAGGAAAAGCGTTCCCCTACAGCTATTGGCGAGAACGTTACTGCTATTGAATGCATCGCAGCTGATGGGTTTATTATGGACCCCTTCTTTATCCTTAAGGGAGATCATCATCTCGAGCGATGGTACGAACGCGCTGATGATAACTACTGGTTCGCTACGTCGAAAAATGGCTGGACTACAGATGAAATTGCATTTAATTGGATTTTACTCTTTCACTGCGCCACATATTATCGAGTATCGGTTTCGAAAGCTGAGAAACGACTTCTTTTATTCGACAATCATGGCTCGCATTTGACTCGGGAATGGCTTGAATTTTGCGATGAGCATGGTATATTATGCTTCCCGTTTCCTCCTCACACAACGGATATACTACAGCCGCTTGATGGGAATCTCTATTCCTAGTTATGAAGCACCTTTTCAGGAAGTATAATAACGAAATTATGCGCTGGGGTGGTACGGCTACGGACAAGGCTGGTTTCCTGGCCTTTATACCGGAGGTCCGCAATAGGACGTTTACCCCTGAGACGATTATTCACTCCTTCCGCGACCGAGGAATATGGCCATTTAACCCTAGTATTGTTGTTGATCCGTTAATCGCTAAGGAGCCAGAGCTCCCACCGCTCCAAGTCTTTAGTGGAGATCCAGACGGGGAGGAGGCGGAAGCAAGGTCTAGTGATACTGAGGAACTAAGTACGCCTACAGTTCCTACAACGATTCGGACTGTTAAGCGTCGCACTGGGCGTCTTCTTTCTCAGGCAGAGAAATTAGGTATTGAGGCGAGTCATCAGAGGTTTATAGCTAGTCTTGAGAAGGCATGCAATGATATCATCCAGAAGACCGAGCTGTGGATGATAGCCGAATCGAACCTTGCGCGAAAGGCTGAGGTTTTGGGCAATTTATCAACTAATCGGTCGAAGAAGAGGCTTTCTGCGACTGGTCTAGTGCGAGGAAAGGATGCAAAACGGTCAATTTTGAGAGGAGGCTCAAAAATGAGGAGAAGGCTCGGAGGAAGGCTATGGCAACCCTCGGAGTTCTTGGTGATGAGCAACCGCAGCAACACTAGGGAAATTTAATATTGCGTGTCTTAGTACTAAATTGTATACAGAATGCAAATATTTCATTTATGAATTGTTATTATCTAATGGGGGTAGGTAAGAAACCGAATATTCGTGGTGAAGATGGGAGAATTGATTTTTCGGGTAGATTAACTTTTCACTAAGAGGCCCCAACCCCGAAGGGGGTGGGGCGTACAAAGAGGCCGGGTATACGAGAAGTCTCAGCAACCCCCTTTCAATTGCAACTCCTCTGTAGCATTCTGCTTTTGGAGGGAACTAAAGGGTCACGAAATTTTGGATATGCAAATATTCCACTGGTCTTCACGGGTTATTCAGAGCTTAGACAAGTTCTGAAAGCCTGTCAAGTAGAATCAAATGGGACACGGTCAGGTCCAGACCAGAAGGCAGGCTAATGAAGTTAATCTCCATAGCACATTCTTAACTAAAGAGGAACGTGAGTTACTTCAGGTCTGGAAAATGGCGAAAGCTGTTCTCAAGCAGTCACGTTCTTCGTCACCATCTCCATCACATACAGTAAGAGCATTCGCAGTACTTCCACTCTACCTGCAGGTCAGTCAGATCATCAGAGATGCGCAAGAACATGCACAAGCCTCTTTGAGACGCATTGTACGTACAGTAACGTATATATACCGTAGCGAGCGGAATAACCGTGCTGAAATATTGCAGAGGTACTTCCCTCAAATACCAGGGAATATCCATCGTACTCCGCAGTTCAGCTCATCAAATTCAACAGGCATTAATTTTGCCATGTGATTTTTGATGCTGTTTGATCAATATCAAAAACGAGTCCAACAAGATGGGCTGTAATAAGGGCGAAACTTGCCCCTCAAAACGCTGCTGGGTAAGGAATGCGCAACTTGTACGTTTTAGGCCGCTCCTGCTGCTTGCTACTCCATCTCCAGTAGGAAGTATGCAGAGAATACATATTCCCTCAATAGAATGTAACCGGCCCCTTACAAATATTACATATTTGTAAGGGGCCGGTTAATTAGCTCTCTTTGTGACAAGATCTGCAGTCAACAAGCCGAGGATCAATTCTCTCCTCCTTACAGAAACGACAGTAACTATTGCTGATATTGCGGCATTGTTCCTGGCGCGCTCCTACATTGAACAGGGAGAGCGTGGATGCATGCAAATCGGTAAGGCATTAGTATAATCCCCAAAGATCTAAGGAGGAAACGGCGGAAAGAGCGCGTTCTAGTTGTGTAGGTTCTCTGCTACGGTTAGTAACCTCACGAATGCATAGCCCAATGTGGAGTCAGCACCATTCTTTCAGAGTATGTGGAAATCAGACCATTGCCTGTTAATACATACCCAGAGAATGCTTGTGTATTCACAAATTTCGCCCATTGCCGTTGGAAGCCGAAGTCGTCATGAGCAGGGTTGTCCTTGACAGGAAGCACAGGTATTTGAGAACGGCTAAGCAAAGACATTAGACAATCAAGTTTTTATTAGTGAACTCAGGCAGTCAAGAGGAGCAAGAAGAGTACAGGTTGGCCATAAAGGGTCACCTGTCGCTGTGATGGAAGACCATAGCTTCAGATAGGGCCCATCCACGCTCCACCTATAGGGAGGCAACATGTCTCTATGTAATGGTTTCTACGAACAGAGGGAAGACGGGAGGGACAAAATGGAGACTTGACTGCGCGTGAGATGACGTGCTACAGGCAGAGGCAAGCAACTGATTCTGGCGAGGCAGTTGTAGGAGGAAGGGGCCATCAGAATGTCGCTGTTTATATCACGTGAGGCTATATGCATTGTGAGGCAACTCCAATAAATCTACTCCCTATATTGAATGATTTCAGGTCTGTCCGTTTATCATTCCCATCAATCTAGCGACATTTCATACGCATGGAGCTAAGAAGGACCGAGAGATAGACTTCATTGAATTCGCGCCTATAGTGCTTTGCGAGAGGGTAGTTCCGCGAGGACCTTTTTAAGCTAAGCAATTAAACATTGTCAAAGCGAGCTGAATCGGTATAGACTAGTATGCATTTAGACGAATGAGAGCTATCGGAATCATACAGAAAAGATTGATTGAAGAAAGGAAAGGACTCGAACGAATGGAAAAGGGGCCCAGGTTGAGCTGTCCCCAGGCGGTGTAACTGAGTATTCGAGTGACCGTACCGATGTCGAAGGGTTACCCGCATATTACATACAAAACGTAAGGAAAATTGTGTGACACATGGACCAATCCCATGTCACTGTAATGTTCATCTCCAATTTTCACGACAAACATCCTCTGTGTATGTCTTTGTTTCAATCACATCGAGGAAGCCACCCACCAGATGAATACTGCCAGTGACAAAGGCCATAACGGGCACTCCACCCTGCTGAACGGAGTTACGTTCCGCCAGGTCCCGCACGAAGTCAACAGCCTCTTCGATAGTGCTGAATACTTGGGTCTCGGTATTGTGATCAATCTCATTCCAGGCGGCTGCAAGACACTTCTGTACGCGGAGCAACTCGACATCATCAGCATTTGTGTTCATGCTAACAAAATCGGGACGGACGCCAGCCAGCTTGTATGTGATATTTGTGCAGAACAGTGCGTGTGTAAAAGGCATGTCGGATTCCAATGCAGCGGCAAGGGTCTCATGAAGGGCACGAGCCAATGCCGGGCTGTCCCGGGTTTGTTGGTTAAAAATCAAGATTCGCAGCTTGTTCATGCCAAAGTCACTCGATGAATCGGCATCGATATGCGAGGCAAACCACTGGCCAGCCAGGTGGATGCTCTCCAGCGTGTGTGCTCCATCAATATACCAAGCCACATTCTTCTCAGACCGAGTCTCACAGCGGCCACCCAGCCGAGTCTCCTCGAGCCCGGTTTTAAATTTAGCAGGGAGGGAGTCGGCCATAATATTGTCAGAAATTTCCGGCACACCAGCCCTTCTCAAGAACTCGTTAGCTACGGCAACTGCAACAGAGGCATTAGTATATTGGAAGTCGCCATTCAGTCCTAGTTTCACTTGGCGGAGTTCAGGATGCTCGACTACCACATCCAACTTAATGCCTTTAGCAGCAGCGCGCTCAGCCAACACTCGCTGCGCATTTGGGTCCTGCGGTGCTGTGAAAGCCCGAGCCGAAGATTTCATAATACCACCCTTGTGCCACGCAATATCCTCGATCGTAGGACCCAGCATGAGAGTGTGGTCAATTCCAAGACTAGTGATAGCGGTCACCTTGGGTTGCTCAATCACATTCGTACAATCGTATTCTCCTCCAACACCACACTCAACTATCGTAGCATCAACGCCTTCCCTCAAGTACGTGTGGAATGCCATCAGTGTGAGATAACGGAAGTATCGCGGCTTGGCGCTAAGAGGATCTTCACCAGCAGCCTTAGCTGCATCTTCCAAAAGATCCCATACTTCAAAGAAATACTGCGCGAATTGTTTTTCGGAAAGCGGCACATTATCGATCTTGATGCGCTCGCGGACGAAGAGGAGATGAGGGGAAGTATAGAGGCCGACTTTATGGAGGCGCGGGGAGGATTGACCTGGCTCTGACCTGGTGTACTGAGATAGGATGCTCGAGATGAATGCGGAAGTTGAGCCTTTGCCCTTTGTGCCCGCGATGTGGACCAGGTTTAACAAATCTAAATCGGAGGGCTGCACAAAATTGAGTCCAACATTAGCACAGTTTATACAGTATAGGGCCTAAGTTTTGCAAACCTTGTGTCCAATGCGACGAAGCCACTCAACTGTCTCTGGGAGGGAGCGCATATTCATATCCTTCCGTGGTGTAGTTTTTCTGAGCTCCTGCACGGTCGCAGAGCTCGTCTGTAGTGAATTGAGCTTTGCAATAGCAGCCTAAGCACAATCGCGTGAGCTTTTCCGATCGACACGGTGTGCAACCTGCACTGAGCTGGGAAAATACATACCTCGTAGGAGCGAGCCATAACAGGCGAGCGCGTCAATTCGCGCCGTTGCGGACCGGACCTCTGCAGAGACCTCCAAGCCCTTCTCATGGACAAGTGATACCCTTGTTTGAAATTTTAATTGAGCATGCGGGCACGACAAGGTTTCACGGAAGTTTTTAGTTCTACAGCTTCTCCAGGAAATGGTAGCGACGAATCTGATGATGTTGGTTACACCTCGCCAAAACCCGGATACCCCTCTCTCTCATCACCTGGACTAGCCTCTGATTAGTCAGACGATTTCTGTCCGCTCCTTTGCAACGCCAAGAGGGATGGTTTCCCCAAGGATCAGTGGGCCAGAACAATTATGATTTACACGAACCACTTAGTAAAAGGAACAGCGGTTAGACTACGAACAGGATCAGCATTCGCTGTTCCCCCGACAATGCTACGACGCCCGCCGGTGAATGAGAGAGAAGAGTCTGCGACAATTCTCGCCTATTATATGAGCTCTCAACGCTTGCCTTCAAAGGTTCCATGGCCGACCAAAGTGAAGACCCACTTCGAGGACGGCGGGAGCTCAAAAGGTATATTTTGTTGAGGTTTCAGCAGTCTTCAATGCCGCTGAGGCCTTGGTAGATAGTAGGTAGTCCTCCCTGAGGCACACTAGCCTTATACGGTTACGTGGATCTTCGGGATGTGTGTATAGCACACTCCCACTCAAGGGTTATCTTAGTCTTAGATATCTTCAATATTATCCAATCGCCGGTATATGCTATCGCTCCTCCTAGATCCTATCTCCTCATCTCAACATATGTTCCCGCATCTAACGTGCAGCCATTCGAACCCGCTCCAGATTGAGATAGATACTTTGGAAGACATTGGAAGGCAACGCCAGCAAAGGCGACCGACGTAGTAAGCTCAATTAATATAAGATTCAATAATCTCCAATACTGGGCAACTTTCACCCAAATTATGTTGATCTGTTTGCTTCCTTCATCGCAAATCGTGTTTGTGTGGCAAATTGTGCTAAGCTTCCATGGTCCCCGACCAGCCGTTTCCTACGACACCAAGCATATATTTCTTGGTAAACAGATCATCCCAATCGATTTGTACCGGGTATTATATTTTTTATGCAATGTCCAAAATCAATGTTTGTTCACGCATGAAATTCTTAGGGTACCTGCCTGTTTATAGAGGATTGTAATGTAAGGGATTCTAATTATAGAATTTCCTGGCCATGTTCCATACAGTCGACGAGATCGAGATCATAGGGTACATTTGGCATTTCAAAGTCTAATAAACAAATTAAAATTGTCTTAGGAAGGACGGAGCAACATAAGGTCTTAATTACATAAATAAAGATCAAAGAAGCTTCGGCAGTCTTGAAGGCTGCTGGAAACTCGGCAAGACACTCATTCTCGTTCTCAGAAAGAGGGCTTCGCTGTGTCCCAAGTCTCAGGTGAGTTGTCTATATGGCTGAAGATTTCTCGTGACGGAACCCTGATATACAAGCGCGCTGTCTCGCTCGCGGATCTTCGATATGTCGCTAGGGTAGTCCTCGTACTCTCACATTATCTTCGTCCACTGCGATTTGGGTGATCGGGTTTCGCCCCCTCCCCCAGACAGAAGGCCTGAATCCCCCATTTTTTCTCCGTATAGAGTCACAGTAATCTCCAAATGTTACACCGTCACCCATCCGTATATATATATATCTATCTTGTAATCAACAACCAGCGTCCAATAAAAGTACTCACAAGCATTCCGACTTTGTATTTCCACGAATCTACAAATGATCATTATCGGCCCTCCCAACCGGCCTTTCTTCCGTTAGAGCCTTGGCATTATTTCGAATGATGCGATATGCGTTATACAGCCCAGAGTTAGTCCATTTTGCTTTTATTAATTGATGGAATTCTGCAATTAAGTCGCTCCGAAGTCCCTGACACTCTCGCTTCAATCGATCAAGGCCCTGGTCAGGTTGTACGGTTCTCTTTTGGGGCTCTGTGAGATTCTGAGGTGCGGATGCATCCCGTATGAGGCTTGAGTTGCAAGCAAGCTTGAGCAAGGCATTTTGGGACAGGGCTTCCCATGGAGGAAGATTGGGGATCATCACTCACAGAGACATAGCGAATGTGCTGCCACGCGCATGGCCCATAATGACGTTCCTTGACTGTTCGTCCACATTTCCTAGAGTGGTGACGTCAGTTTATAATATTCACATTGAAGTTGAGCTCAATTTGCCTTCACTTGAATTACTAGCAGCCCCGTTCCGGTATTTGTGTAGGGTTCCTATTTTCTTTGAACCCAGCTGAAGCATTTGTAGACTTCTTATATTCTAGCGCCGTATCATAAGTCAATGCGCGTCGTGGATCCGTGATCCAAGAGCCCTCATTACTCTTCATAGCTCTTCTAAAGATTGGTATTCCTTTGGCACTTTCTTTGATGTGAATAGGGGTAAAGGGGTGCTGAGCCGGTGTTCCGGTCCCTTGGTGAGGGTCCAAATATCTCGGGGACATCTAATACACTCACTGGCGAATGTATTATCGACAAGGGATGTCCTGGACGACATAAAGACCCAGGTTGTTGTTCCATTCCGTATAGATGAAAACAGGCCTTGCTTTATTAGAATAGAACGTACATATATCATATAGATTTAAATACTTACGGTACGCCTTTGTTCCCTTTGCCTTTGTTAAGTCTGTGTGCAACTCTCACGAGGAGAACGTGGCACGTAAGATCCTCGGGGTGCTTCACCACATATAATTCAATATCCTTCCATTTTAAGGAATTGTCGACCCTCATTTAGCCGAAAGATTCGACTAGTGTTCCAGAGAACTCATCATTCTAACTGGGCTTGCCAGCCAAAATCAGAGAATGCAATACTGCACACAGCAAGCAGGTGAAGGGTCGAGTAAAGAAGGTCGTCAATGTTGACTGACGGCTGAATTTTACCCTGCGGACCAAAGTCGTACTCGTCAGTAAGCGTGATGCATACAAGCTTCAATAGTAAGTATTTGAAGTGGATTCAAGCTGGTACATACCATAGTCATAACTCGGCGAAGATCATAAGGAAATCCGCAGTGCATTTGTTCACCCCCGTTCATTCTGAAAACCTCCGCAAAAAGGGGAAGCCAGAACGGTATTCCACATTGTGATTGTCCAGATACCATCGAAGAAATCCTTCAATAGCCCTGAAAGTGATATTCTTGAGCCAATATTGAGTACCACGGGGGTTCAGTTCTTGCCTAAAACTAGCATCACATGTGAGTGGCCTGAAAAGAACCAGATGGGACAAAGTAGGTTTACTAACCTTCCAAATTTGTGGTCTATGTCTTTAATTTATAGCTTTGTTGTATCAGCATGATCGCTGTTGACTTGTGTCTGGCTGCTGAACGAGTAAGCTTGGCTTGAGTTTTCTTTTGAAATCATGGACCAACAAAATTTCGTCAAGTATGGAAAAAATATATCTCGCAGAGAACAGATAGACTTGAGGTTTATATTCAAAAGATCCTTTAAGGCTTATCTATACCTTTGCTGTGCGATTTACGAGCTGGGGCTGTCTCTGCGGTGTACACATTTCTCATGGGAAATTACGCTAAGACTCATCTGGCTACGGCAGCCCCTAATTGCTGCCGTAGATGGGACCTCTAATAGACAATGAGCACCACTGCCGGTCGGTGGTCATAAAACGACCTGTTGTGCCGCCAGGCACTTGCTGTTCAGGAATGAAGTCGCAACATCGGAAATAACTGCTACTCGATGTATGAGAAAAAAATGTTCATTGAATATCAACTTGGACTTCACGTTGTGTATATACCCTCATGTTTTCCCTCGAGAAGAACGGTTAAGCTTCCTTTTACAATACAACACAAATTGTATCATCGGGATTCCAATGCATGGGCATTGGATATGGGGCTCGAAGATATTACAAAGAGAGCAGGACATAAAAGTAAAGATTTCAAGGCTGGGTCTGTCTGAGGAACCAGTTGGACTCGCCCCACAAGGGCAGGAAGATCAAGACGCCTGCTCCGCCCAATCTTTCGGCAAGACAAAGATATTGCCGGCCCTTACGCGAATAATTTCGTCACTTGTTCTTGCGAGGTCTCCGACGGACCGGTCCACTTGTTCCTGCGTCGCAAGATGAGAGAAGAGAATGCGGGTATGGCAGCCCCTTCGAGGAATCTATGCGCCGTGTGGTCGGGTTCTGCAAGGAAGAAGGCTTTTGTGGACCGCCAATTTCCAGATAGTCTCGATCGGCATAGCCTCTTATGTCTTGGCCGCCAAGTTGTTCCGACAGTTCGAGATCGCTCGATTTCTGGTCCCCCTCACTGACGGGCGGCGGCGGCGTCGTTGACCTCTGGGAAAGCGATCTCGCAAGGCCTGCCTCCAGCCGCCTGGAATACCGTAAAAAAAAATTCCCATAGCAGGTTCGCGAACTGCATTCCGTTCAGTCGCCTCACTCTCAAAGTTCAGATGCACTTCCCCCTGAACGAGGCCCCAACTCTTCATTCTGGATCCAGTCATCCACATTGTTGCTATCTCTCTGCATTCAAACCGTATTGGTGAGTGAAGGAGAATTTTCCTTAACGGCCCATGAACGCACATTCATCCTGGTGAGCAAAGGCGAGGCTCCTGGGATGATGATGCCTGATCGTGGAAGAAGAATTGCAGTGCGGTAGTGCATGTGCCTTGGCGGACCTGGCAGACAGTGGCCCCGAGGACGCGTCTAGACATGACGGCGCTTATGGATCATGAAGTTCGGGAGGAGGTTGGCATCGTGTGAGACCGGTTGGGTAGAGGGACGCTACCAGGCATCTTGGATTGGACTTTTCAGTTCTTCTAGTGAAACTGGAAACGGGGAGCATTATGGCTGGAAAGAACCTGTGATCGGGAATATAGTTTCATCACCGGCATGGCAGGGCATAGCCTTTGTGTGATGCTGGTTGGAGAGGCGAAATCTTTCCTGACAAGGTTTTACGAGCAACCATTAACAGACCCCTTGCAAATATTACATTCGGAACCTGCCCATTCAAATGCTATCGCGGCTTCAGGAACTACAATAGGCGATCGCAGACCTGGAAGGCTCACATCAAGGCCTGCAGATATTCCTTCAAAGTGATGACAGAAAGGCCCCGCTACCTCGTCACGAATTTTCAACAATGTATATGTCTAATCTCCCCACTTTTCCTCGTTTCGCCGATTCCTTTCCTAATTCAATCAAGCTCTCACAACCTATGTGGCTATTGCAACATGTTCCCCCAAGTTCGGGCCAAGGCTAATCCCACATGGGATGTGGATAGGTAAGTGCCCGCACTAGGTGCATTATTAAAAGGCGACGGGGTCAAAATAAACTTTGAGAATACCAATGCAACGAAAATGATAACAGATAATCAAGGGAAGCCAAAACACTAACCTGTATGTAATTGTTAGTGACGCGCCGCGTCGCATGTGCCAAGGATGCGAAGATACATCGCTTCTTCGGTGATTTTTATGTTATACGCTGTTAATTGGCGCAGTGTTAGTGATATAAATATTCGACGAAATACAGGTGCGGCTGGGCATGTTCACCTTAATTCTCAGTGATACTGGAGCGATGCTTGATTGATGAGACGACAATGGATATGAGGTGGAGTAGTTTTGGGCTAGAATGGCAGAATAGGTTACTGTAGTCCACCGAGGACTTTACTATGGGGTGGACATACAGAACTTGTGAACTAGTTGACACTTCAGGAGAGACTAGTATAGTAGGTACCATCCATGTCGACCGCTATCTTGACTGTCCCTGTCTAGAAAATGAATTCAGCCACGCATCTATGGCCTGCTCTTTTCTGCTTTTATAGTATAGGTCTCGTCGACATGTGTGTGTGCGATACCCCACACTAAGCTTGCACATAAGGCATACGCCGGGCCAGTCAGATTGATATCTGATAGACGGAACGGCTACATGATGATCATTGACTGTCACATCAGATGGGAAAAGCAATGAGTTTCCTGACTCGTATGCCCACCATGATTATCTCGGGATTCACTAAGTTCTGTATGATATTTTGCCATGTTATAGAAAGATGAAATACTGTCTGTCTTCCAAGTTCAACACCTTTGACCACTCTGTCATAACACAAGCCTCACACGCGATGTCTTGGACAGGGCTTTGATGCAAAAAGTAATAACGGGGAACAGATTTCGGGGTTTGCAGAGTAACTCACAGCAGCAGAGCATCGTCCTGGCATCTAACTACCGAGAACCCGAAAAGAGTCCCAAAGAGCAAGTGTCAATACAGTAAAAAGTAGTATTCATGAAGTACAGGAATATAGGATCTCAAATACGAAACCGATTCAAGAATAGAACAAGATTCCCCGAAGTTGGTTTGGGACAGCATTCAAAGATCAAGCAAGAAACAAAGGAAATGGTCAGACGTGAAGACGGAGTTAAGGAAGAGGAAACGCTGTACCTTTATTGTTTCTCTGGATTTGGTGCTTTGCCGGATGCGTTCATGATGTTGAACCAGTGATTCTAATACATGATACCAAGATCGAACCAACGACCACTTGAAGTAAATAGGTAGTATTAATCCTCTTTCTGGCTCCTCGGTGAATCAGAACTGAGAATATATCATGAGAGCATCACTACAAAAATTGGAGGCATGAATTCACCATATACGTGCTCAAATTTATATTATGAACAACAAAGTTGCGCTGTAAAATTTTTACCATGAACACTCGAAAGCCATGGGAAGGCAGGTATGGTAGTCGAATGCGGCCACTGTCGGGTCGTGTCAGCGGATTCAAGTTTCTGAATGTAGGGCCAAATTGAGTTCAGCCGATGCATCAAGAATCTAATATGTGCAAGACGGGGGCTAAAACTTACTTGGACTGGGATCACAGCACGTCGTTAACGGAAATACTATTGGAGCGAGATGTGAATGGGAATTAAATACTCTATGAAGTCATTCGCTTACGGTACTTGTGCTATACATGTCAAAAGGAAAGCTTGCCATAGTCGACTTTCTGAGTTTTGCATCCACCAGCGTCTTTAACTTCCAGAATGATTCACATATTCACAGGACGGAGAGAAATAGGTCAAGACCTTTGCCACCTGCCCAACTAGTCAAGGGCGCCTGGCTGCGCGAGCAGCTTCAATGAGACACGGTTCAATAGCATGCAATTTGGCCTCCGATGGTGCATGGCCAAAAAAGTTGACGGGGGAGTAGGATTGGTTCCAAAGTTGATCACGAATTAAAGCTTCTTCAAGTTGGCATTGGAACCGAAGATTCTTCGGAGGTTTTGACTAAAGATGGTCAACACATCTACGACAGAGCTCGGCTTGGAATCGGCAGCTCTGTGGCGCATCTGGTCAGCATCCGATTGAACAATTGATAACCCGGAGCCTAGGAGCCGCTGTGGTGGGGTGACGTGCCCTTCTAATGTAATAATGTAATAGGATATTATACGACGGTTATAAGGAAGGAACATATGAAAGAGTAGAAGATTGAAATTCCTCAAGTCTTCAATGGTAAATGACGCCGCCAAGCGTAGAATAGCAAGTAAACTCTTCCTCCAAAACAACAACCAACCCAATCTTTGGTGACATCAAACGTTACCCATATGACATTGCAAAAAAAACATCCGCACACGCTTCTTGCACAACGATCCGTGGAAACTCTGCTTTTATGGCCAGGGAAATCTGTCGGTCCACAAGGTTGTTGAACTTCTTGCGTCTTCAACTTGATCTTTCCGATTGGTTCACCAATTCCGTTCTTGTGTATGCGAAAGGATGCTCCCCTAACAAAGCTAACCCAGCACAATCTTTCGATATGGATCTCAGGCATTTAAGCAAAGAGATCACTTACGAGCCCGGCAGTGTTGAAAAGGATCCCCTAGTCTTTGATCAAGCGTCATAGCGTCATAGGCCAATTCGTGTATTTGAGCGAGACACATTTCGTAGTAACGGGATCGCGCCACCAAACTTTTCATCTTGAGAGCTCGATCCTGTTCTTCATTATTCATTTCATTAAAGCCCGCTAGACTCGGTAGGCCATCCCCAAACTGATAGAAAGTCGGAGTACCCAAGAATTCAGGAAAACGGGCCTGTAAAAAAAGAGGCAATACTTGGGAAGAGCGCCAGCCAGTTATACCCTGAATACGCGTGGGGTCATCTGGTGAAACGATAATGTTCTTGAGGTGTAAAGCAGGATGCCATAGCACTGGTCTTGATACCTTTTGAGCACGATCTTCCGATGACAACGTGGTAATGATGTTTGAAACACTCTGCGGCAGAAGACGGCGTTGACTAAGACACAGAGATCCGTGACCTTTGCTTTCCGCGTCTGTACTTTCATTCGTATTCAGATCTTGTTGGATGAACGACAGTGCAAAACCCTTTAAAGTTTCACCTAAAATCGTGTCAACTATTGTTCAAAGGAAGAAAGCAGAATTAAAGGTGACAGACATGGCTCTGCGTCCACAGTTTTGCCAACGCAGAACAGGTGGTCACGATCTAACGTGTCCGAGATAGAGATTTTCTTGAGATCGGCGGGGTAAAACTCCCGTAAGTAAAGAGCTCCATATGCGGGGAAATCCAGTCTTGCAAGGGCCCTTTCAATTTGGACAATCCGTTCAATGATATGGTATTGATCCAAGGGCTGTAAGCTATCCCACGACTTTGAGAGGGTAACACCAGGGACCTTCTCCGTAATTATGTATTCCGCACCAATCTCATTTGTCGGTTCTGAGCTCCAAGCGACGACTTTTGGAACTGGAACAGCTGTGTAAAGACGCACTGGACGGATGTTAGCCTGCGGGACAACACTTATAGGTAAGACCTACAAAATTCCATAGTCGCCACTTCAGAAGCTGTGGTGTAAAAGGCGAGCCCAGAATGCGGAGAGGGTATTTTGGCTATGAGTTCGCGCCCATCATCCATTGCGAGGCGGAAAAGTCGGTTTGAGTTGTCTTTCAGTTCATTGCAGCTAATGCACGTCGATTTTCCATCCAGTGAGGCTGCCAAATGACGCAGTTTGGGAATAAGAATCTCATAGCCTTCGTCGGCTAGGCGTTGTTCAGGCATCTCTGGTTCGTTATCTTCAATTCTTCTATGCTTGGTCAAAGAAAGGGACGTTGTTGAGCGTGGATGTAGTGAACCCCAGCGGGTCGAAAATCGGTGGCGTGACGAGGGGAGAGTTGAAATCACTGAGTGCCAACGAATCGCAATAGGCCGAGTCTGCCTCAGCATGTCTTGCCCGCCTGAATTGACGGTTGAGGGTAATAACGTGTAAAGATTAGATATCAATACCCAATCGACACGTTGCACATAGTTGCGCTGAGATTCGAGTGAAGCCGTCAAGAACCGTAGATGATAGTCTTCCTCGTGGCGGGGCTTGTGGATGTGTACAAGCCGGAATGGTGTAACGTAATTCCGGGTAGGTCCGCTCCAACACCCCCTCCCCCACTTTGCAAGTCATCCAACCAAGAATCCAATGAGCTCTGCAGACATCTTGATCCGGCTGAATGCAGAAAGGCCATTCATTCTCTTTCTCGTTTTCCCTTGCCTGTGATAAGCCTGAATTCTCTCGCGAGCAACTAGTGAAGATTCGAATCCTACTGTATGTATTGCAAAAACACGCTCTAGGCATGCTCAAGCTCGACCACAGCAAGACGGGCTAACCCTCATACAAGACTGAACTGCGTCACCAGAGAGACGGAGATATCCTCAGGGAAAACCGCAAATTTTCTCAGTCTCTAGAGGACACAGCCAAATAGATCACCGCGGCGAGGCCACAGTTGTCCGCGCGGCTTAACACCGACCGCCACCGCAAATTGCTCTTGAAAAGCACTTTTGCCCCATCTCTCGAGACGTATATCAAGGGAGGTTCTCACAGGTTGAAACCGATATTGAGTCATCGTTCGTCGAAGGTAGGAAGCCTTGGAGAATGGCCTCTGATTCTAGAGTATTGATATGCGTACGTCCGTTTTGAGCAAGGCCATTGTGGCAGCCTTGCTAGGATGAAGGTGGTGAGAACGGGCCAGCCAGCAGTCTAATGTAGACTGGGATGAGAAGAGGAAGAGCCCCTGGTATATTTGCAGGCATCTGCGAAGAGCTGCGTGATAGTGTGGTGGCAGGGGCCTATCAGGAGTACGCCGCTAAGAAGAGACAAGGAGTTCCTGCACCGTTTCAAATCTGCACGTACCTCGCAGGGGATACAGCGGCGCTCGCTACTCTCATGTGGGAAAGTGGTTTGGAAGGAAAGAGACTGTATCCTTATTCTTCTTAGCCGAGCAACTCTTAACAGAAGGCCCCGCTCAGGCCAGCTGCAGCGTCCAATGTGGCGCGGCACAAGGTTTCTACTGATAGATGAGCTTCTATTGCGATAGAGTCTACATGGATACCTAGGACAGTAACACAAGTTCCTTCCTGATATTGCGAGGGAAGGTAGATTGTCGGTGATCCTATTGTAAACCTTACCGAAGTCGCCTGTATTATGGTCGGACAAAAAGGGAGCAATTACGAGGAAGGTCCTATCTGACGCTTCGGTCTACGACCGCAGCAACAGGTGGTCCATTATGGCAAAACTACTCTCTTCTCACTCCTTATGACTGTGTTAGGTCACCGATAGAAAGATATTCACGAGGGGAGTGATGAGGGCTTAGTAGACTAGGCTATTGTAGGGGCGTGATCAGGGTGGGAAGGCGTTTTATGGGTTTTGGCATTCATAGACCGGACAAAGCCGTGATCCCTATTTCCCGCTGTAAAAGCCACTGTGTACAATTCCCAGCCGTCCCGAACAGCCGGCCGTTTCACAACCGATTGTGTCAACGGACATTCAACAATTTAATTAAACATGGCAAATTTACTTAAATTTATCCAGTGACCGATCTCCTTGCATCTACTACACCTAGGCGCAGCCCTGGTAACCGGCCTATCTACCTAAACAGGCAATTCGGCCTGAAATTGCCGCATGCGATTCTACTACCTGATCACCTACAGTAACCATTGTTGAAAGCAGACTTACCCTTCAGCCTTTGCTCATGCCTTTTCAACTTCAACACCCGCCTCTGATATGTCTACCCCCTCGAGTTTTTTTTTACTATTGTGACACCCAGCACTTGCTGCTCAGGAATGAAGCCGCAATATCGGGAATAATTCCTGGTCTATGTATGAGAAGAAGCAAGTTCATTTTCTAGGATATTTCGAATTTACCAACTGTCGGCCGATTAAGGCTTCACATGTTTCAGATCAAGCGTGCATATCAAACTATCCAGGACCGGCGAATTAAGGAATTTCGCCAAATCCGAATCAACAGCTTTGTCTCACGTCCGCGCATTTGGGAGCGACTGATTCTAGTCGATCTGAAACCATCCACATTCACCCAGTACCAGCAGGTATGGCAGCGTCTGATCTGTTCTGCCTACCGCAGTAGTCACTCGGATCAAAAGCTCATCTTGGGCCACCAGTTGACGACCATTCAATTTGCCAAGTAAGACCTGCTGGAGGATCTTGGGATGCAGCTGTTGGTAGAGTCATCTTAAGCAGTCTGGGATTGGCTAGATAGTGCCTGTCTTGTACTTCTGATTGCTTGGCTCGTTCAACCACTCAAGGAAGACCTATTTGAGAGCACTGTTATAGCCTTCCTTGCTGTTATTGGTGTGGATGTCGAGCGTCAGGCATTTCTGGAACCATATGGCTAAACCCGCTTTCTATCGGCCCTTGTAAAGATAGCCCAGATGCTGGTGGTGGAGCAGGTAGTCTAGATTACCGATGGCATCCCTATGGCACACCCATCAGATGCGCTGGATGATATGCGCAAGCGATTCCTGTTGTATGTTGTTCAAGCACCCTCCAGCTGGATTAGTCGTCTGGGCGCGTGTGACAAAAAGGTCTAGAACAATAAGACTAGCCTGGGTGATATCTATTGGAGTGATGACCAGCAGACCTTAAGCTATAAGGGGCTACACTTATCCATGAAGGATTTTCAGCGCTTTGCCCGGACTCAGCTGACATCGGGTCAATCTGATCTAGCGATTTTTTTATTTCATGAAGATGAGTCTCTTCAGCCCTTCACTCTACACTTCAGCCTGTTTTCTCAGTCTTACTCTTGATTCCGGAAAGCTCCTTTGCCTGCTCTCCGCCTATCAACCAGTCAGTCCCAAGGTGCTAGTTTCACTGATCTTTCTACAGGCAAATAAGCCTTCACGAGATCCACAGAATGGGATGTATGGCATTAACGATTAAAGCAAAACACTCATTTATTCGCAAGAAACGGTCAGATGCTCACATCCAGTGGCAGCTCATGAAATATCGCACCCTTCGCAGAAGCTCAACAAGACCTATTGGCTTGTAAGCCAAAGCTCATTCTGCAGTGACTGAGCGGTCATTCGATTTTTTGGATCTATCGTCATCATGGACCGAAGCAGCAAGAGAAAGTTGTGCTTTTCCTTCCCACTCAGACACTGAATCCACCTGTCGAGGCTAGCCGGCGGACGTTCAATGGGGTCTCTGATTTGCAGGCTTTCATTGAATAGCCTCTGTACAATCTCTGGGCTTCCTTTCTCCAGGAGATGAGAAGGGAATGGACCAAACAGGGCGTCAATTTCCTCAATGTGATGTTTAATGTGATAAATACCACCAGTCGCGGTAGCTCGGCCGGAAAACATTTGCACCGTATCGAGGAGCTCGGGGAGCAGAGCGCCTAGGTTCCATATATCAACTTCCTTGCCCCATGGTGCTTGCAATAAGACTTCGGGAGCTCGAAGAAGTCTTGGCTGTATGATTTCTGTCAAGTGGCGTGATTCCCAGCTCGCCGTCCCCCAGTCACCAAGGACGACTTGAATTTCAGAGAAGTCGTTGCGATCATCGAAATTGAGCTCCCCGAGACTATTTCCTGGGTTTTGAAGATGCTCCTCGATGATAGACTCATCTCTGATTTTTACCATGATATTGTCTTGTTTTATATCTAAAGGTAGGAAGGTATTAACAGTGTCCGTCTGACTTATCGGATGTTCTTACCGGTGTGGATAATTCCCAATGAATGAGCATATTCCAACGCAGAAAGTAACTGTTTCGCTATCCGTTTCATGATGGAGGCAGGGATTCTAGCATCCTCAAAGAAGAGACAAAAATCTTTGATGTTTTCCGCCGTAGGCTTCAGGACGAGACATAGATGGTGGTTGTAAATGAAATGATCGAGAAGACGAGTGATATGCTGGTAACCAGTATGGTCTGGATTGCCTTCGCTAAGACGTTTCAAGATATCCAGCTCGAAGGTCTCATTTTCGCCACCGTCACAATGTTCACGAAGAATTTTGACCGCGCTGTAGGATCCCAGTCTACAAGGAGATACGATCAGAGAGGACCTTCAAATTCATCTTAACAACTTACATCTTATCCCTAGCCAACCAAACAGTCGAGTATTGACCTGATCCGAGTTGTTTGGTGATTTCATATCTATTGTTTAAAATCTGACCGACCGAAACCGGGTGGGCGCTTTCCATTTTGAATTCGGGTGGGATCTGAAAAGGCAGGCCCTTGGTCTGCCTTTTAAGCTCCCGCTGTGTTTGTCATGTTTGCTTGTCTGGCGTGTAAGGTGTAAGCCCATCGGTCACCGCCTTTGCTTGAGGGGGACTTGAATTTCGCTAGCCGATAGGCTTTGGAGGATTTGTGTTTCAACGGATATTGTAGTGGCTGCCTCGCTTGCCCCGGCCGGTAAGATAAATTGGGGTTTTCAAACATACAGTACTCCGTACTGTAAAACGCAACAATCAACTATTCCGCGCTGTAAGCAATGCTCAAAAAAGTACGAGGCCAAAGCGCGCCACTAGACAGGTATAATAAGCTCGTACAGTCCCAATGCCTACTTGTGTATGTACCAACAAATCTTGCTTATAAGGGAACTTCCCAAAAATTTCCATCATTATGCCCATTGAAAAGATCTCTTATGCCAAAGGTCACCAAAAAAGCGACTCTGCAGATAAGGCAGTCAAGGAGCATGGTAAAGGGTTGGAGAATAGGGGAGCGTATGAGGCGTACATCCGATCAGCACCCACGTAAGCCAAACTGCAACGTGATTGTATCTTAGCAAACTCTAACAGGGTTAGGGGAACCTGGCATTCGAATGACAACGACCCCAAAGAGCATTTGACGGTTGACTATAAGAAGGAGGATGGAGCACATGTGACTACACACCATGTGTACAGACCCGAAAGTAACAAGTAGGGTCTGATTTCTCAAGATTGCAACTTTTCAACGGTCTCTCCTCATATGGGAAGTTATTATGGGTTTCAACCACTCGATACCAGTGTGCTCAAGTGGAGAGATCGCATGGGCATATTTAAGCTAGACCTGAGTCTAGACGCTGTCAACGAATGGATAATAGCCAAATTGGACTTAGTTCACCAAACCTCCACGCTTCAATATCAAACCTTGCACGAATGGCTTGTGTATCTCCTTGGCTGATTCGGTCGATTAATTTCGGGAGAGGAGGATATAGGTGCGCAGTGGAAGCGAACATCGCTTCAACATGGATGAGGCGATCTAGTCAAGCAGATGTCCAACCGTTGTTTGTCGATTAATAGGTCTAAACTGCTGCTGCTCATCGGGGGCAGGCGTAGGTTGACACAACTCGGGGCGAGTGCAAGGATTCTTCACTGATAGCCCTTGTACGACACTGGCAGACACAGCGGTAGGATTCGCTTTCAAAGATAAATCGTTGGAAATCCACATTGCGGTGGTCGTTTCGGGACACATAGGCTTCATAGACTACACATAGTTGTCATTCTGATGCTGAGCGAGGTCAACTAGATATCTCATGGGAGTTCTTGGATAAGGCCTATTATTGCAGCTTCCGAAAAACTATTATTGTTGACTCGGGAGCTTCAGAACCTGCCAACAGATTAAGAAGCAGTCGATTATCTTGTTCAGATGTTGGGTTGATACATATGGATAGACTACTACAACAACGAGGGAAGTCACCAGAATTACTGTGGAACTACCCATTGCGCCTCACTGAAGAGAAGATCGGTTAAGGGGTGTAAAAAGCTTACATTGGAATGAGTTATGGCGTTGCTCCATAACTAGTCAATTCAATTACAAAGCACGATTTCGCAGATCCAGAGCCTGGCTCCTCGAACATTTCATTCTCCACCCGCGCATTTTATCAGTGATCGCGATAGGAGTCGAGTAGTCCCAAAATGACGATATTTGGAGGTTGTGGGCATACGGCCTGAAGTTGTCTTACCAAAAACAGGTCTCACCCTTCCAAATTTAGGTCCCCTTTCTTCCTCTACAAATGGTAGTTATCTCTCTACCAAGAGGATACATCCTTATTACTCCAAAGGATAAGTGGTTGTGAATCATGTTGCGTTTGACCGAACTGTAAGGGATATCTCAGAGAAGACAGTAGCAGTTCTCTCAATGAAAGTACACACAAAAGTCTACGTAAAATTGGGTAAATATGGAGTATATCCACGGATGCGTAGTATAAAACAGTATAGCTATGCTTTTCATTTCAGTAATGACCCGCATTATTTCACTTTTTGGGTGGAGAGTTCCAAAGTTCTCTTGAGATTGAGCGGGTGCGGCAGGAAGCGGTTGCAGAGGGATTGACGTTATTTACAACATGGTGATTTGAGCACTCCCGCAGCTCCTCTAAGTGACTTTGAAGAACTTCAACCTTGCCTCCCTTTTACCGCCCTGACTGACCCAGCCCATTTGTCTGCTTATTTTCCTGGTACTCATCAGCATCCAAAGATGTCGTTCAACATCTTCAACCTCCTATCGCACGCAATGTAATGTGACAATTGCACCGTGAGGGGAGGTATGGACCACGGAAATACCCACAGAGATCGGATAAGAACAGAACTGGGCGATCAAACCCTAGCATACCGATCATTTAAGGGTAATGTTTTAGCAGCGAAATGGGGATAAAAAATCACCTAGGAACCAAGTCCATGTAGAGGCTAAGGACAATGACAGTTCGGAAAGGACGAGCTACAAATAGCTGGTATCAACAAGGAACTTTCTACTATTCATTCAACGTTCAGAAACAACAACACCATCCATATATCTGCGAGCTCCAAAGACAAGGTCGACCTGAAACCTCGTCGATATCTGCACACTTTTCCCGGCTTTCAAGGCAGTACTCCATCTTGGTGTCCTTCGGAGATACACTACCCACGAGGGTATTGTGAGAATGTTGCTCACGTACGGTCTTGGTATGTGGCGGCTCCATGTTTTTGATTCTTTCATCCCATGTTCCCGTTTCAGCCAGGCGTTCAAGAGTGTAACAAACACATAAATCGATGTACTTCTCAGCGAGTTGTGTGTTATCCCATAATACTGCACATTTAGCAGCACGGGCTAAAGGATATAGTCCTGGTTTAGGAATATTGAGTTGTTGCTCCCAATTTGCGATGGATCTCAGGCGCTGCTTGATTTCGGGAGTTAATCTGGCAGATTCGGCTCCAGTCTGTACCGCATCCATTGATAGGTAATTTTGCATATCGCAAAAGTGCTACAGATTCAGTCAAAATTTGCCATATCTGGAACGGAGCGTGGAAATTACCTTTGCCAGTTCAAAAACTTGCTCTACATTCAAAATTTGTGTGTCCAGGCACTCCATCACCGACCTTGTCAAATTTATTTCACGCTGCTGGAGGGTTTGCAAATCCTGTCCTTTTTCGAGGAACGAGCTGACCTTGAGCTTTCGGTATAGATGATGATCAACTTTGGTTATTCTCTCGGCAAGAGCTCGAGGTTCAAGTGACAGATATTCGTCCAGAAATGTGGTACTAGAATCGAAGGGCTTGTCCCACATGTTGGAAGCGTCTGAGATGTAAGCCTTGAGGCGCACTGCCAGCACCTTTTTGCGTCGGAGCAAGATATTATGGGGTACGTATTCGTGAAGCTGATCTCTCAAGGGATTGGTAATAAAGTGACGAAGATCTTCAACCAGGTCTCTCTTTCTTGTATGCTTGTTAACCACATAGTCACATGCGTCTTGAACCACGGTGCGTATGAATGGATCAGCACCAATCGTTTTGTCCTCCAGGTGCTTATGTATGTCAGTTAATATCCAAGAGCGAAGAAACAGACAGAAACACACCTCTTTCATCAAGCTTAAGTGCCCTCCGGACTTCATGCTATAGGGCCGTTTCACGTAAAAGCTGCATATTTGCGAATACAGAAGCTCATATTCCTCGAGGAAGTCTCGCAAAGTGGGCGTAACTTGACCGCGGGATAGCTCTACTAATGCTTCGAATGGAATGAGCCCAACTTTATTCAGGCTTTGGTATATCAAACTCTTGACGACCATTCCCCAGTTATCGTCCCGAATCTGATTCGGATCAAAAGTCCAGCCCTTAAAGAGCGCGCCTTCTAAGCCAGGCGCCCTCCTCAACCCCGGTCTTCGAAATAAATAATGGCTCCAATTGCCATTGAAGAGCTCCGAAAGAAGACCCTCCATCTTTTTGCTGCTTGTGGTGGGAGTGGAAGGATCAATTTCGGTTGAAATATCGCTCCGGAACGAAGCAGAATGGATATGAACTAGTTCCCATGCTATTAGCCTAGGCTGTCGATTTATATCAAAAGGCGATGAAATTTGGAAAGCCTACCTGATCTGGAACAATCCACGGAGGCGTTGAGTATGCTCGCTTCCATATTTGTATATTCGGTGTCATCAAGAGGAGAAGGGATACTTCCGTTATATACATGATTCCGGCGACTCTTGCTAGTGTTCAGCCCCCATTTCTCGTAGTCCTGGGTAGTGAATATTGATGCCCCTCAAGCATGGCGTTAAAGGCGATGGGCGTGTTCGATAGTTTCCATATCGAGTCGCTGGCTAGTAACCTAGCCAATAGTACGGGGCTGTGAATCTTCACTAATGCGTGTGCGGCCGAACCACAGGTTTTAGCTAAATTCGGATCATGTAGCCATGATTGGTTGGTCAAAAGCTCTAGCGTCCTGCGCTTTCATAACATCATGTGCACCTCTGAGGATGATTGATAATCAGTGGTTCGCTTCCTGCCTTATAGCGTAGACTTTGATTTACCGAAATTAGGATCGTTGTGTGACTGCTCCACAGCGTCAATCACAAATTACACGTGCGAGTGGAGGAGAGGGACTACAGAAGACAAGACAGGTATCATTTCGCGAAACTGGTGTATGTTACAATCTTTGGCCAGAGTGCGTTGATACCAGAGCGTGAACTGGCCACAATCGGCCCCACCGATACATAAGCTTTGCAACCCCCCTTGGTTTGCAACCCCCCTTGGTTTGCAACCCCCCTTGGTTTGCAACCCCCCTTGGTTTGCAACCCCCCTTGGTTTGCAACCCCCCTTGGTTTGCAACCCCCCTTGGTTTGCAACCCCCCTTGGTTTGCAACCCCCCTTGGTTTGCAACCCCCCTTGGTTTGCAACCCCCTTGGTTTGCAACCCCCCTTGGTTTGCAACCCCCCTTGGTTTGCAACCCCCCTCAACCGGGGATTTCCCCGGATTACAGTATCATAGCTAGAAACCTAGATATTACGTAGACTGCATAGCAGCTGGCGAGTCAAGGCCTCCAAACGCCTGATTGCTAAGGCTGCAAACCTAGGCTCAGCGACCCCTGACGGAATAACAGTGGATACTCCGAACAAGGAGATAATTACCTAGTTAACTAACTTAGTTAACTTAATCCCACATGAATTAATCATAATTATGCCCGCATAAATTGCCAGAAAGGGGCTTTATAGCAATTCAAACTGGGATCTTGAACTGCAAATCCGGTAGAAGCCTCAACATACCAATAGATCGCTGGTCAGCTTGGATTATAATTTGCTGGAAGAAGCACGGAACGTCTTTTTTTAGAATCACAGGTGACAGGCCATCCCATGCTTCCAACCTGTTGTTTCTGCAGGTATAATATCGAGCCCTTTTCTACGTCTGCTCATCCCAGAAAGCGTAAGTGATCAGTGTATTGTAAATTTGTACTGTATATCCTTTGAGTTACCATTTTGTCTCGTTATATAAGCGCTTGCCTTCTGGGCCTTTCCCTGACCTTCGATGGGGTAAACCCCGATGCTTGTCCCATCTCTCCTCACATACTGCAACGGCCCCGGCCTCTTTACCTTGTAATCGTTCACCACCTCGGACAAAGTGCACATGGTGAATCCGAGTCGTGATTGAGCAGACTATACCAATAATGAGTGAGAATCCGTCCCTCTGCAGCCGAAAGAGCTATACCAAGACCATGTGAAAGAAAATGTGAGTAAGTCATGGAAGGGCCACTGGCTTATCCCCAAGTCCGCCCAATGGCACGTGATCTCTGCTGTTTCGTAAACTTCCAAAACCAGAGATTACCATCTCTTCTTTCTACACCCGTTGCCACTCTAAGCGCCTACAAATACTCCCCTATTGCTGAATTATTGCTCTGGACCCTGTCAATATTTTTGATCTGCGTCCTTTCTAGATACAGATTTACCAGCAGGTAAGCTCCTCGAGGTTTAAATATCAATCTATTAGCCTTATCAGCACATTTGATCTCCCGCTAAATCCTAGTTAACAAAATCCTAGAACCTACTGGTGAAGATGATACCCCCAATGGTTCAAGCATCTGAGGACAAGGGGCCATCTGAAACCGATCACATTCTTGCCGACGCATTGCGACTACTACATTTCCTCGATGATGAAGAACATTTCCGGAATTTGCAACCTGAAGAGAGGAAGCTGATCTGCATAAGTGTCCTCGACGAATACTCCGAGGAGTATGGTATGTGCTTCTCCTCTCAATAGATTCACTTGGCATCTTGGACTAATTCCTCCAAGGGCTCCACCGCAATCCGGGGGTGTGCACAACTGAGCACACAATGAGAGCGTTGACAGCAATTTCGATCCTGCGCGATGCTATGACGTTAAAATATGGAGAAGTGGATAATATTCAGGAAATGTATACAATTCCTACAACACAGATTTTTGGTAGATGACAGCGATTTATCCCACTCGAAGCATTACAGATCTTTATTCGTCTTTGACTACACTGATATGTTATAGTGAAATTATACAAGATTGATTGTTCCTGGCACTAGTCAATTATGTACAGGTTCATTTTCATCTCTAGTCTCCTAAACTTTGGCCTGTAATCAGCAACAAAAAACGTGCTTGAACCAAGCCCTGCTCTCGCAGAATAAACCACCATACAAGGAATATTTAGACCTTCTGATGAGGTTCCAGAAGTCAGGGTAAATGGACATCTTCTGGTCGGAAACTCTCTATCCAAATCAGTCAGCATATAGAAAAGGATAGGCGGGTAAACCCAGAGATGGCCAACAACTATCACGAGGATGGAGATGTAAGTGGCTGAAAAGATCGATGACCTTTCTTTTTGGCCTTCTCATTCATGTCAACAAGTAGTTCTAAAGAGCGACCCTGCTCCAAGTCCAGTAATACCTCGGATTTGTCCAAAGACGAACTTGTTTGCTGCTTCGACAAATTCTTTATTTTGGAATCTGGATCCGCAAAAATTGATAATTCGATGGACTCCTCGGGTAATCACGGATATGATCCGGCCATAGAGTACGTGGATAATTGCAATTGACTTGTAATTTTGTTACACGGCTAGCATTAGGGGTAACTCGGAAGGAAGGGGGCTCTGCGGTCATGACCACGGCTCAGCGCAAAGCAAAAGCACCGCGAATTTGGATATTCCACCTCCGCCGAGCTTATTACATTCGCCTCACCGCACCACTCACCACAGATGTCGGAATATGGACCATTTGGGTTCTATCCCTCACCCCTGATAGACGGGTATGCGACGCACGGTATGCCGGTACCGCCTCCCTACGTCTCATAGCAACTTTCGGTGGGATCGTAAGTCAACGCAACAACCACCACTCCACACAAGACAGCCTCCGAGCGAAATGAGAACCTCCGTCTTACCCCCTTCCAGCATGTCCCGGATTCAAAAAGCATTTACAAGAAGGCCAACGCAACGTAGAAAGATCACCGATAAAGACCGACGAAAGATCTGTTTATACCATGAAGAGAACAAATCAGTCAAGCAGGCTGACATTGGAGGTATGACCAGCCATACTACCCTCCGCACGCCTTCTTTGACATCGGAGTATATTGACTTGGATTTTTGGTAGTTATTCGGAGTGGAACGAAGGTAAGTCCTGCGGCCTTGCTCACAGTTTTTTATACTACAATTTGCCCTGACGTGTAGTCCCAGCACCGTTTCGAAGATTTTACGCCAGTAAGACAAGTACTGCGACCTCATCAAAGGGAACAAGTCTCCAGTCAAAGGGACCAAGGTGGCTCAGCGTCTGATATTGAGAAGGTCAATTGATTTAAGCAAGAAAGTAGCTTGTTATTGGCTGATATCTCCCAGAGTGCGATGATTGAACAGCCCCCTTCGGTCATTGGGCCACCCTTGGCAGCTAACAAGGAAGCCTATACAACGATAAAAGTAAATGACCCATCAAGCATGATTGAACCCAAATCCAACGGCTCGGACACAGAAGCGCAGTCAAGGAGACTCCCTTCGAAGGCAAAGGTCTGTGAAAATCCTACCAAGGATGAGACACGGCATGCCCTGGAGCGCGCCATAAGATATCTGGAGCATCAGCCTAATGGCGTCGCTGCCGATGAGTATCGAATTGTCGAGGGAATCATGAAGGGCCTACAGTAGTGATGCAAGTTCCCCGGTGGGAATAAGAGTGAGTTTGGAGCGTTGAAGGTAATAGTTGTGGCTATTCAATTACCTGGCGGATCCAAGCCCTGTGCTTGCTATTCCACGCCACCAAGCTCCCATATTCCACCCTCTTCATCCTGTTCCTCAATTCTCGGGCTTTCACGCAATAAGGTAATTTGGGTGAGTATATGTGACATCTATTCTTGTACACGTCGCAATCTCTGTTGAGGCTGGGGATAACTCGCATCCGATTTAGTGAAACGAAGCGTATTTTCGGATACCTGTTCCAAAGTAGCCTTTCCATGGGTGCGTACAGTAGCTCTCGAGACAAAAGCCCCCATGAAATCCGGGAAAGAACAAACGCCTGGGTGAGCTTGAGCGCCAAAGAACCGAGCCAAAAGTACGAAAGCCTGGCCCGGGTAGCAACCCCTTCCCTTCTGCTTGATATTATAAACTATTGGATGGTGCGTAAAGCAGGCAATCTTGATGAACCTTGGGATCTTCTCAGGTTGTTAGAATTATTCGGGGTCGTAGTACTGGTGTGGCTTTGTCCTTGTCCTTCGTAGGCGGCTGCGAATGGCTTGGGTGGACTCATAGAAAGGGACTGAATAATCCGATACATTGTTAGCTCAAGGTATTCAACAGCTAGCTTGACCATATAAAAAACACAGAGGAATAAAATTTCTCTACCTTGATGAAGGGCTAGCTTTACTTCTTGTCTGCTGACCCTAGGAGTGCCAGCTGGTGAGATTGCTTTTGAGACGCGATCAGTAGCATGGGGTGCGAGTGGGAAAAGTGAGAATGGGAAGGAGAGGAAAGAAAGTAATTTCACTCCCGGGCCGAACTTTTCTTACCCAATTTCTCCACAGGACGGGTCCTTCTTCGCCCGAAGGTAGTTCCGTCCACATATTCTTCTACAACCATCCACGCACAGAAGTCTTTGACAGGCCCAACCCCAACAGACCCGGTCTGTTCTCGCTCTTGCTGATTGAGCTAGGGCCCAGCAGGGCAACCCCTGGCCCCATCACGTACTTTCCAGCTTGGGATTGCACCTCACTTTAGTATCCTAGTCCTTCTTTCTCCGCTGCAACCCCCCTTTAATATTGTGCCTGTGACCCTCGATTACACCGATTCTCCCAAACGGCTGGCCAGTGCATTCTTATGGATGTAATCAAAGTGATCCTGGACCCTGGCATTCGGAGAGTGTGACCTTGCTGGGATGCGTGCATCAGTATTGCTATTTTGAATGGGGACGAGCTACTCCTCGTTTCAAACCCTCGAATTCAACCATTCTGCTCATATCTAACATCCTGCACCGCGGCACTAGTCCCTGATCTTGGCTGCGATCTTTACCTCGTCCTCCCCGACACCTCGCTAACAAGTGGACACGAGGACTGACCCTCTTATGCAGGTAAAGGGAGAGCGTGAACGAATTGGTGCTTCACCTAGAAGGCCATGGACTACTACGGTACCGAATCACAGGTAATAGTTCTCCATTTTACCTTATTTCCAGGTTAAACTAATCTGTGACGACATAGTTTCGCTTCTCTCAGATTACTTCCTCAAGTCCCGCTGTCGAAAATTACTCCCTACACCCGCCCTACCTTGGACACCTTGTGCATTATACTTCCTAATCTTCCATGAGCGGGTCTCCTCCCAGAGTGAGTCAGAGGACATACTTTCGCTCCATCTAGTTCACTTGAGGGGCACAGTAATGGAGTTTTTGTTGTTCTGGATTGAACTGCCAGATTTGTTGAATGTAATCTCCCAGTGAAATTGCTGGTCGTCAACATCTCTTCAAGTCTCCAAAAATCTACCAGAAACAGAAAGAATCAAGACAGAAATATTAAACCAAATTCTAGAGGCCAGTCCAGAACAATGATCGACGTCCCAGCAGGTATAGTGTATCTATCTTCCCAATTATACGTCAGATATCGAGTGTGCTTGTAACGCCCTGGACACTGACGGTTCCCGGAGATCCAGAGACGAACGGCGCTATCAATTTCATCCGGATAATGCAAAAAAGTCTGCAGGGGGCTTCACGTACCAGCTCAACGCACCGCCACTAGCTTAAAGCAGCACCTGACTTAACGATTGAAACTAAAGGTTTACGCAATAAGTTGCGCTGGAATTTACCCGATTATCACGTTGTTTTCCTCATAATTATGAATGCAATCCATTAGTTAAGGGGCTTCGCAATCCGTTGGTGAAAGCAGCTTTACATTTACTACGTGAGAAGTGTCAGCATACATTTTACTTGGCAATGGGGTTGGATTGGATGGCGTCTAAGGAAAGGTTGTATTTCCAAAAGTGCCTACCGAGAGACTGACTGATACAGTACTGTGGAACACGCTCCCCACGAGCCGCACTCCTGATGTTTATCTGAAGCGATATAAGGATATCCAGTCGATACAGGCCGAGGCTTAGAGAAGACAGGAGAGAGAGACAGGTGTCACAATCGTGCGATGAACATCTCATGGCATAAATTCTGCATGACAGATTCTGCATATATTGGAAGGGTATCAGTTACTGACTTCCTCGTACACACGCGACTCCTTGATCCATCAAATTTCCTAACTAGTACCCGCCACTGCTTTCACCCTGTTCAAGCCATAAAGGAATAAGTCCTTATATACAAGTTAGATGGGCACCAAAGTTCCTCTTTATGACTCCTTGAATCATCTCTGCTAGGCCTTCTTGCTGCAAACGCGCGAGGGATAGGCTTTGTCCGCGCATTTTAAGTTGAATATCCGAGTCCGATGCTTTTTCAACGTAAAGAACCCGATTGACGTCATTTTGCGGCCTTTCCCAACAGCGCAGAGAGTGGAATATGTGCTCCAGGATTGATAGTGTTTCACGCTGGATGACAAGACGCTTGGGGTGTTTAGCAATTGCTGGATACTTTGGATCCCACAAAATCATCTCCTTCAGTGCATCCTCGTTGATTGATAGAACATCGCTAACTTCATCTCGATTGAAAATAATCGATGAGTTTCCCTTCGGCATTTTGAGTTCAATGTCCCAGTTACGGTCGTTGAATAGCCATACATCAAGCCCAGAGACAGCATATGCGAGCGCAAACTTGATCAACCATTTGTTTGGGCCAGTAGTGCAGTTTTTGTGGTTCCAAAAGTAGAAATAGACATGACCGAGAGGTTTTGCGCCTAGAATGCATATCCCGCTCTCCTCTAAAAGCTCACGAAGCGAAGCAAGCTGGAGAGTATTGTCATCTTGCTCGACAGCACCTCCTGGAACTTCCAATACGAAAGGCCGTGAGGTGCCAGTGCCAGCCCGCTTTTGCATATGAACCCGCTTCGTTTCACAGCTGAAAAGAAGAGCTTCGACACACCTGCCTTCGATAGGAAAACCCAGATCTCGCAGTCTTCGGTGAATACCTTCCGCGAGGGTGTCAATATCGCTGATAGTAATTGTGTAAACTGTCTCGTGCTCGAAGATCACATCATGCAATTGCATGGAGGAAATTGGGACCACTTCAGAACAGCGGTGGATAGAATGTGGCGAGATTGCCATAATGGGTTGAGATATCAATCGAAGCGTCGAAAGAGAAGGGTAGATTGTAACTTGTGAATTCAATCTCCGAGGAAGCGAGTTCAATATTTAAAGTCATAATATTGCAACTGTGGACATCTAGGCTATCTGAATGACGCCAAGCTACGTACTCCAGTAGCACACCGCTCTTTCGCCATGTCATTGCGGCGACGCAGCGTCGTGTCATGTTGGCGTCTCAATAAGCGCTAGCTCTAATGCGCTAATTGGGTGGGTCTTTGTGCTTGGGTCGGTTCTCGCTCATTATATGAAAACAGAGTGTTATTCTCATTTGGAAGGAACCCTCCATAAGAAAGACCCAGGTATGGGCCAGGGCGATGCGAAGCTATGGTACAGATTAGGGAACAATTGACATAGCTGTGCCTATCTCTCTCTCTGTATCTGAGGGAAACTAGGAGGAGAGAAAACCAGTATCAGGACAAGTGACCTGTGCACGACAGAGCTGTGGCCTCTGGCGCTGTGACAAATCCACAAGCTGGGACTACAATGCCCGAGTGGCTGACAGGACGCCCTATCCTGGCAGGGCTTGTGGATTTTGGTGATCTGAATGAAATCTCACATGGAACCAACCAAGTGTGGGAACATGTAGCAATTCGGAGGTCATTTTCTCACCGATGTGGTCCAAGCCCAGGGTCTGAGATGCTGTTTGGTAATAAATTTGCCATAAAACTGCCATAGTGCCGTCCTCTCCGAAGCAATCCACATTAAGGCTGAATTTCAGTTTGGGATCCAGTACACAGCATTGATAGCCGACTGCTTCTGGAATTTAAAATGGCTTGTAAATAACTTACAGGGACTCGGTGTGTGTTTCACTGCACTCAGTCCCGGCTGATGGCTTATTATGTGATAAATAGGATTCCTGGAGGCCGATCGTGCAGACCTCTGCCACTCTGGAATGACTTCAACAACTGCTGGCTGGCACTTTTCCAGAAACAGTTGGATATGAAGCATGACTTAGCCGCAACCAGATATATGCCAACAAAGTATACTCCATTGACCTTGGACCGCATGGAAGCTATGGGCAACCAGCTCATCCAGCTTTGTGACCATTTAGAGCCACATGGACTGGTCGATTATTAGATGGGAATTCTGGAGGAAAAGATCCTTAGCAGTAGGTGTTTTTTGTTCAATGATACGTGTTTTTACCCTAAGCTTCTGGTTCTAACAAAGTGAGTCTTCAGTTCTTGGTCAATGATTGGATTCAATGGAACAACCACTTCGTCCGCAAACGAACGCCAGGATGGCTAGAAGGAGCTAACGGAGCCCTTAGCTCTTGCTCCCACATCCCACATAGAATATCTTGTATTCCTTTTGGAAATAATGATAAAAGTTCTTTTCAGCCAACACTCGGGAGTTTTGGGAATATGTTTCTGCAATTATGAGGGTCTGTCCGGGGGTCTGTCGATGGAAAATCCGATATAGAGGGTTCTTTTGATACGAATTTGTGGGCCGTTGTGCTATCGAAAAGATTGGATAAATAGTGTATTTCAGCTGAGGCAGACTTGTTCACTCGGTGGTAATTCAACGGATTCTTAAAGTGGCCGCTGGAGAATGCTAGCGCCGGGACCCAATCATTATGACTATAGCATGGTATAAACAGTTCCCTAGCTCCTCTCTCTCTCTTGGCACCAATGTCATCCCTTCTCTTTCTCAGGACCGAGCAACCTGAATTGATTGGTCTTTAATACTCCACACAAACAACATTACAACATGGATGGTCTTTTGGCACTACGGATTCTATAATCATGGGCTTGTGGAATATAGTGAGCTGCAAGCCACATCGCCAGGTGAGGATATGGTCAAGGAAGTGGTGCTATCATTCCGATCGCGGCCATGAAATGTCTGAGTCCATGCAGGATGGACCGGGGAATCGCGTGACGCATAGAATAAAAATTGAAACGTGGCATCCAAAACAGTGATGTATGACCTCATTTGTAATTGTTGCATTTCACGGAAACACCCTTCTGCCATGCCACAGTTTTTCAATGTAGCAAAAGATTTAATAAATGGCATCGGCTAAAAGCTATCAGTATAAGCGTTCATCTACCCCTGTCTTCTATTCTTTCTCTCATCTCTACCATCACTCTACTTGAAAGATCAAAATGGCGGATCCCACCAAATCTCCAGAGGATCCTCTCCAATGCCGTTTTCTCTTCGAGAGCCTCGAAAATTCACGATGGGAGGATATGATGTCTGCGATTGAGTCGGGTATATTCTCTAAATTCCGTGGTTCACACGAGGCACCCCATTATCTCTTTTAAAAAAAAATACAAAACGAGGATACATCACGTTTAATTAAAGCGGCAATCGACACGGCCTTCAGGAATCCGTTGCTACGACCAAAAATTGAGAGGGAATAAAATCTGTACCATGTTTATGATGCCAAACGCCATGAACACGAGATAAGAAGAGACGCCCCTATGATCTCGCCTCGTAGACAATCAAACATTGTCCGTCGTGTTTTAACGGCCCTCTGGATTATGACATGGTCCGGCCTTCTCATTTCCCAAAATGGCTATATCTTCTTTTGGCTTGCACTCGGGATTGGACGCAATGTCTTGATGCAACGACTGGTATCTTTAATGAATCCCCAATGTCTTCTTGAGCCCTTCTCAATGAGAGAAAAGGAAGAAGAGAGGTCTACAATATTCCAGATCTCCACGTTGGATCGGGAGTGCTGTGCCGTCTGCCGGGCACGACTTAAGTTATCGCCAATCAGTGCAACTGGTGTAGCTTCACTAGGGGGCAGGACATTGAGAACATATTTGAATTTGTCGATATGGATCTTGCAAACCAGCTGATAGAAGCGGGATTAGATACTGGGAAACCCGGCCCAGAAAATGCATCGGTTGGCTAAGAATCGCTCGTCGAGTCGACCCTGAGCCAATGTTGACCTGGCTATTGAGCCGCGGCCACCAGCCCCCTCCGAGATTCCTCACATATGCCGCAACATGCAATCTATTGCTACGACAAGGTGGCTCATGCATCATTCTTCATTCACTCAAGATTGGTGTGACGCTCTCGATGTGGCAGCGAAGAGCACAGATTACACTAGTGTGGAACTGATGACGATCATTCTATAGAAATCAGCAACAGAGTTGGGGACAAACGCAATCGTGTCTCAAAATGTGGATAAGAGATTGTCAACGGAGTGTGCCTGGAAAGAAATAGTCTCGAAAATATCTCGTTCCCCTCGAGTCATGCACTGCACTACTCTCGCCTTCCACACACTGTCCGTCTTGCTCGATCAACTAGGTGACCCTAGTATATACCCAAGTGTACATATCTCATTGTCATTCATCTGGAGACTTGCTCTCCACCCTCTCGCCATGCAATCAGTCGAAGCATTCATCCCGTGGGTCAGAATCGGGGAATTGCTCAACGCTCTCATCGACTCTTTCATCAAGGCCCTCGTTGAGTCCGACATCGACCCCGACAGCAAGTTCAACGAAATCGAAGACAGAAGAGGATATGTCGACACACCATCTACCGGAGGATTGCCTCATCCGCGGTCAATCCTGGAGCCAACTATACTACCCCGACAAATTTTTTGAAGGAGCCCCCTCGGAGGACGACAGACCGGTTATTGAACCGAGTACCACTCCCATCCCTCGCATGAAAAGATGCCTCTGGCTAGGCGTGCAAATAGCAACGGTTTTTCGCATTTTTTCTTTCGTTCTAGCGCTTGAATATGTTCTTGATAGAGATGGAGATATATAAAGGTGATCGATTTGACGTGCAGTTCCGTCGTTGGATAACATACGAAAATCGCAGGTTCAACATGACACCGGGCGCGCTTGGGAACGCACAGATTGCAGAATCTTGCGGAGGCCTTAATAGCAGCTCAACTTGATCTTTACATTTCACGACGATACTATGTGATATGTGGGCATACTGCAATTCTCAACGATCACTAGGGGTACAACGCATCCTGGGAAAGATTCAGCTTATTCCACAGACAGTAGCAAAGCCGACGTACTTCGATACTTTGACCATATGTTGGAATAGAAATAGATGAAGGAGAAAATTGTGACAGCTGTTGACTAAGCTCCAGTATAACATAACTAGCCCAATGGGTTTATCTATATTATACCTGGCCCTAGCGTACGTTTCAGAGTAATCCCAGTGATAGACCACACTGATGCTGCGCCGCGGTCTAGCCACATTCTGCCGGGTAACCTTACACAAACTCTTCACAAAATCTCAGTCCCTTCTGGGCCAAAGATGGGTTTCCGGCGTGTAGCGTACTGTAAGTCCAGGCTGAATGGGATGAAGGAGGTGTAAATATATCATCTTGAAACCATGTATCAAAATCTTGGAAATCCGCCAGTAGCAGTCTTACCGTATTGCGCTACATGTTCGAGAGTTCAATTAGAGAGGAAAGCACCCACGGATGCTGTACCCATGGATGCTCTACCCATCATATCATAAAGGCATCCCAAGTAGGCATCTGCTCTCCACTTAAAGTGTACAAACCGGAAGCTAACGAAGCAATTTGCGCGAATGGAAACCCATCGCTCCCAGGGCTATGAATACCATCAGTGAGAAAGTAACCGCAATTATGTTCCTGCGATACGTGGCGGATGCCCCTTGGACACTCTAACGACAGCAGAATTGCAATCGGGTGATCCGATAACCCTGGCCAATACGGAAAGTCGAAATAAGAACACCAAGTATCAGTTTAGGCTGACATAAATAACATACCCTTTTCTCGTTTCTCTTGTGCGGACTAACAAAAGATAAAAGAGATGACGCGGCGGGCAAAGCATACTTCGCTCGTCACAGGGTGCCTAAAAACCTTCCAGTTGACCAACACCACGACGTTTCAACCCAAGTTGAATAAACAAATAGCATGAAAGGCGTCAAGTAGACTTATGCTGATCCATTATGTGACGTAGATCTCACCACGTGGAATTCACTATTTGCAACCCCTGCAAATGTACTCAAAAAACCAATGTGAAGTTCTTTACGAATGAGATCAGGCCGACAGTGTCGACAGCGAATGCCGATGATATTTTGGCTTTTCTAAGCGCGTCCAGTCATTATCAGCGCCCGGTTTTGATGTAGAGTGGCTAATATATACATAGCACGAAGACAAGAGAACCAATTACCGCAACAACCTATTAACAGACGAGCATTTTGACTCGCCAGATGAGGTCCGCGGACAGTCGCCAAACCCGATCAAAGCAGAGCGCGCGTATAGCATTCCTATCACCACGCCGGACTCCTCGCGTTGGGCCAACCATATCCACAGCCGCATCTTGTACAAATATCTTTTCCTGGTGGAGATGTTATATTAGGCTGTCAACCATCTGTTTTATTCTTTTACCAAGGCGACGGCACAATTTTTGGTACCCTTTATTAGTTTGAACATAAGTCGATCTTCCGACGGATGTTCCCGATCTTAGAATCAGACTTTCAGGGTTATTTCCTAGGTAGTCACCCAGGGATCATAATCTTTTTCAACCGCATCTGCATATATAGAACGTGCTTCAATCTAGAACGCCTCGTTGTGTAGGATATTATCGGTATGCCAACAGAAGGCTACGCAGTCCCCACATGGTGAAAGTACATCAATGTGTTTATCAAATATTTCGCTCTAATTGCCTAACATTCAGGGAGCAGACATTTAAAACCGGGGGGCCTTACGCCCACTTCCCCTATAGTGTTTATCTTTCTACATATATCGAATCTGTCCTCTGTCCTGTCCCTGATAAAAATAGCACTGAAAAAGCACTGACATTTTTCCCTGAGCTGCATCCTTATCTGTGTGACGCGGGCCAGTCACCCAGGCGGTGTAAGCGCAATTTAGAAGATAGGGGTGCCCGGAGAAGAGGTGCCTTCGCGCGAGCAACCGCTCATTGAGGACTGTTCTTCCTCGGCCTCTTAAACCGGCGCAACCCACTGAGCGACTTGAAGATCAAGCATATGGCCACGGTGATTAAAGCGACAGGGCCAGCGCTTGACGGGTATACAGTTAGGCTTTTGACATAGATGCCCCATATAACATTTGATGGACCGGCAAGCCCCGGCTCGAGGGCAAGGGTGCAAACGGAGGATGTATCTGAGTACATCGACCATAGCTTCAGTGACTGTACTGTGATCGTAATGGCAGCTTAGGTCGTCACACTCCCCCGAGAGGTGATAACTGTTGCAAATCTTGTGCTCTCTAGCACGGCGGTGGAATTCATCCAAAACATCCGCAGACGGACAAGGACAATAAGTGTCGAGACGTTCGTTATCCTTATTGATGGCGATATATTTCTTGGCTTTGAGGCTCATTGGCGGCAGGTGATTGGAAAGAAACTCCATTGAGCGGCCTTCGATAGTTGGAGTAGACCACGGAGTAGACCACAACTGTTTCGGCGACTCATCCGCGGGCTTAGCGGATAAAATTTGACCCGGCATAACGTGCTGCTTGATGCAAGAACTACCGTACTTGCAGATACCCTAAAATAACGTCAGTGAGACTGGATCAATGTTTTCATAGTGTGAGAATCATGCCCTTTGGTAATGTCTACAGATCGGCTTGTTGCTGCCATTTATGGTTATGGTAGAAGCCATCTTGGTATTGGCGGTGGCAATTGGTTTGGTGCTAGCAACAGGTGTAGACTTGAACACAGACGGCAGCTCTCTGATCGGTAGACCCAGCTCTTCGAAGTCCCCGTGAAATGAAGCGGCCCTGATGAGGGTGATGCGATCCCCTCTACCTCTATATGGGGTCAACAGAGAGCCAAATCCAGAATCGTGACAGCCCGCAAAGTAGATATGTCGGCACTGATTGGAATCCGCAAAAAGTCGGAACATCTCTGGCTTGCGAAACAGCGATCAGTACTTGCTGAGAATGTTGGCTGATGCCAACTCGTTCGGTGGCCGTCAGAAACCCACCTCTGATTTTAAAATCGCTGCCCTCTTTCCTTTCAGCAGCATCGACAAAATCAAAGAGATCTTGAGCTCGGTTGAAAGCCGAGATGAAAGGTGCCAGAGATCGAGCTTCAGAAGCACATAGGCCTGTTCGGGCGAGAGTCCTGGACAATCCAAGCATATTACGTAGACACGGACCATAATCCGACACTGATCAGCCTGCATGCCCAGTGTGGAGTCCATGAGCTCCCTGACGGAGTCGCTCAGCTCACGAGCTGCTTCAATGCCACCTTCGGCACCGGCTTTGATAAAATGTTCTCGGAACTAGAACAACCAAAAATTTACAGGTTAGCTGGCAAAGTGATGGTCATTGGAGCCATTAAACGTTTCTTACGAGATATCCATCACCATCAACGAGCACCAGCACGAACGGGTTGCGATCCTATCCCGATGTCAGCCTTGGCATCTCCCGCCCGAGCCCAGAGTTTGAGCTTCGTACCTGACCACGAGCTTGTCTCTTGTATTTCTCACGGCCTTCCTTCACCTCTTCATAATCACTTTTGAGGGAGCTGTAGTCGTCCAGGAGGCGCTTGAATTGCTCCAGAACGTCCTGAAGAGATTTATGGTGCTTCGTATTTTCCTTTGACACGATTCCGAGGTGGTTGGTCAAGGATGCTATCTCCGAATTCTCCCGCATGTTGATTGAGTAATCAGGAAGGCATACGCCCATCCCACCGAGCAGCAGAGTTCCGCAAGGACCATGGACATTCAATCGAAACACAGAGCAGCGGAAATTCCTTGATTCTGAGGGGAGCTGATACGATGGGGAAAGTCAACTCCGTTGTCGCAGGGTGGGCGGTCAGAAGAATGCGTCAGGAAATGGCGATCAGCATCAACAGTACCTCCAAAGTTTCCGCGGTGATGAGGCTCAGTATTGTGACGGAGTACTCCGTACTTTCGCTGCCTTTTACATATCACCCATCGGATACGTACTGTATGTAACCTCCGAGTCAGGGGTATTCTCGACGGTATTTCAACCAGTAACAATGCTCTTTACTCCGTAGATCTTATCTCTATTTTCTCATTGGTGTTTTGTATACCTGTAGTAAACTGTATCCTTGGTATGTATGGTTTATACCTACTGTGTATGACAGCAAGGTGACGCGGTATTGTACGCAAGGATGGGGCTAATCCACCAAGGGGAACAATCCAAAAGATGATTTGATTAAAAAGATGCAATGAACGGATGATGCGAGGACTCGCTAACGTATTCAACCACCGAGTGGTCATTACGGCCAAACCACAATCGCCTTGTCCTCTTGACCGCGTAGGGTCACCATACAAAGGCCACAGTAGCACACGGTATACTCGCCACGAGACCGGTGGAGGTCAGTAAACATGTGCGATGATTATGAAAAATGAAAACCCCTTTGCCAGGCGACCGACCCACTCGTCTCTCCGGGACCTTGGAAGCTAATGGTGGATTTTGGCCGGCGACGGTTGCCACGTGATCAGGCGTTCCTCCCACGCTTCGGAGCCGGCGCGTTTGTTGGTTCCTGCTGCCCTGGCCGACAAGATCCAACTCCTGTTCCACGAGTGAGGCGCGCATTACTCAAGACAAAGGACGATATGGGTAGGAGCTGCGTTCAGTGCTCCTTCGCACGATGCTGCTGATGCATTCCGATCGAGCCACACTGGACCAATGGAGCCTTTTCGCGTGCGGCTCAACTGCATCGATCACTATCAAGCGACCGCATCAAAGCTGGACCCTCCGCTACCCTTTCGGGATGACGATTCCGACGAAGATGCTAGGCCCAAGGTGCCAGTGATCCGAGTATTCGGGGCGACCGAACGGGCCAACGAGTATGCGTCCATGTCCATGGCGCCTTCCCTTATCTGTACATCGAGTACAGTGGGTCCGTGGCTCCTGAAGCGGGTTCGTTGGATCAGTAGGTCTTGCGCATGCTCGACTGTTCCGTTCATTCACTCTTTCTCCAGCCAACTCGGCCATCCGTACTCTCCACATCTCGATCGATCATGCTCTGGCGGCTATTTTTCGCAGTAATTTTCATGACCGGAAGACCGCGTTTGTCGCACATCTCACTTTGGTCAAAGGATTCCCTTCTATGGATACCATGTCGGCTACCGGACCTTCTTCAAAGTCTATCTCCTCAATCCCGTCTATGTCACTCGACTAGCAGATCTGCTGCACGAAGGAGCCGTGCTGAAGCGACCGCTACAGCCATATGAGAGCCACCTCCAGTATATCCCGCAATGGATGTGTGACTACAACTTACACGGGAGTGTTTACATGGATTGTGGCAATGTCATGTTCCGACGGCCAGTGCCGGAATATTTGGAACTGAACAGTCTGGACCATCGACCGCTCCATTTGTCCCGAAAGCATTCTAGAGGACCCTACCCTTGCGAAGCAGAGTCATTGTCCCTTGGAGGCAGATGTGTGCGTACAAGACAACCTCAACCGACGTAATATCAAGGAGCGTGCACTGCACCACGACTTTACTGAATTCTTGCGACCGGCTGCCTTCAACGAGCGGTTGGTTCCGAGCCTGGCTGGTCTATGGCAGGACGAGACTCGGAGGCGCCAAAACGCATGGGAATCACCGATCCTGGCAGCACACTATTCAGCCGCGACGAATTAGTTTCGATGTCTGCTAATCCCCGAAACCAGTCTAAGCCAGGATGGTTCCACGAGGATGAGTTCCACGAGCTGGCTCTTCAAATCGCCGTAGAGGAGAAGAATACTTATGACGGGAAGGATGTCTCTTTTGAGACGTTTTTGGACGGACAGATTATACAAGATATTAAATCAGCCTTGAATAGCGTGGGAGATTTCTATCCGGACGGGTCTGACAACTCGACCCGACAAAATGATCACCACCTGCAGCAAGCACTGGATGAAGAACCGCCGCATTTTTCCGTCGATGAGCGGCTTGCACTTACTTCCCAGACTGGCGAGCAATGCTCTTTGGGCGTCGATGAACCGGACGGCATATCGACCGAATACCCGGTCGAAGAAGAACCACGACAGCTTCCACCGCCTACGAACGAAGCTATTGACGAGAGCTTCTACGATGGCGTATTCGACGAATATCCCCAGCCCGGCGAAGCCGCGGACTCTTGGCACATGGACGCCACCTTGTCCCGAATTTCGCTGGAGTTTCTCGTAAAGCGCCTTCCTACCTTTCAATTGATCTCGAACCTAGCAATGAATTGCTTGATGATGAACGAGGAAGCGCGGGATCTTGCAAAACGATCGCATCGTGAAACACTCGATCCTGACCCGTCACGACCAGTCAAAAAACGAAGAATTTCTGGGAATGCTGAAACGCCACATGCGCGAAAGGAGTTCAGTGAAAGTACCCAACCCGGAACTGTAAGAAGAACCAAATTGGGCCAGTACGAAGCTTCACCACCATCGTCGGCACCAAAGTCATCTGCCCCTCAGCAAACGATTCGCCCACGGGCGGCTTCGCAGATGACCAACGGTCGACTGAATTTTCCAGTCATCAAAGACCCGAATGACCCATTCAATATCCTACGATTCAGCCAAGGCGACGACAGTTCATCAAAGAATGGCCTCGGATCCTCCCAACCTGTGCCAAACTCATTTCCCTCTAGTTGTTCGACGAGGAGCACCCCGGGTGATGCCAGCGAAGCCGGTTTACCTTTCAACTTGATACGTCATTTGCCCTTGACGGTAGTAGAGAGAAGAGTTGCGCTTGATCCACATGTCGCCAAAGTCATCTCAAGACTCCATTACTCCTTCCTTTTCCGCCGTCTACCACCCTGTGTCTCTTCGAACCCCCTTCTCCCGGGACCACGGAAATTGAGACAACGATGAAAGACTACAGCCGTCCCCCTGTGGTCTACCAAGAAGCATACTATAGCACGGAGACGGGTGTGCCGGCAAGGCCTCGCCAGTATGCCGGTCGAGAGTTTCGATTAGAAAGCGATACAATACACTTCCTCCCTGACTTTGAACCGTCGGCAAATGCGCCGGCGATGTTTGGCAATCGGCTATCTTCGAGCTATTCGATCGAGAACAGCAGAAAAAGATCGACCAACAACTCCGCGAATCCTGCACCTCGAAAGAGTGGGAATTTGCACCTGTCCCGCCCATCTGAGCGGAAGTCGCCGATTAGTTTGAAAAGCTGGAAGAATCACGCCGATCCAGGACAAGCAGTACTATAACGAAAGGGCCCAGAAGCCCTGTCACAAATTGAAGGCCGACACGAAAGCACCCGTATGGTTGCAAATCTCAGGGGCGAAAACTACAAGTGTGGAGCACCAGACGCAGTACATGAGTACGATGAGCTTGGAAGTCCATGTCAAGACTCGTGGAGCTTTATTGGGGAACCCCGACGAGGACGAGATCTCTTGCATCTTCAGGTGCATTCAATCCGAAAACGAGGACATCGAGGTGAACAGTTATCTACCCGGTGTTCATGTGGAAATGATCTACCGGGGCGACAGTGAGGAACCGAAAGCGAGGATCTCTAAGGCTCTCAAAATAGAAGTTGAGCATGAGCCGACTGAACTGGACTTGATCAACCGACTAATTGATATTGTATTGTCCGGTACCATGACCCAGATATCATCACCGGTTACGAAGTGCACCTCACGTCCTGCGGATATGTGATTGAACCAGCTCGAAAGAAATACGACTTTGATCTGTGCGACGAGCTGGCGCGAGTCAAATCGCAGTCTCACGGCAACTTTGGGAAGGAGCCTGATTGGTGGGGGTTGGAACATGCTCGTCGATTCGAGTGACCGGCCCGGCACACGGTCAACATTTGGCGTGCCATGAGAGGCGAATTGAATCTCCTGAATCTCCTGCAGTATACCATGGAGAATGTAGCTTTTCATCTCCTGCAGCGTCGGATCCCTCACTGCTCAGCCAAGGATCTGACACAATGGTATCAAAGCGGAAAGCCACGCAGTATGCTGAAGGTTGTGGAATACTTCATATCTCGAGTCCAAATGAACCTGGAGATCCTCGACGCGAACGAGTTAATTCCGCGAACGAGTGAATAAGCGAGACTGCTGGGAATTGACTTCTACTCGGTTTTTGCACGAGGATCGCAATCCAAAGTGGAGTCGCTGATGTTTCGAATCGCCAAACCAGAGAATTTCTTGCTGGTATCTCCCAGCAGGAAGCAGGTGGGACAGCAGAATGTCTTGGATTGCCTGCCTCTGGTCATGGAACCACGGAGTGATTTCTACACCGGCCCGCTCGTGGTTCTGGACTTCCAGTCCTTCTACCCGAGCGTGATGTCCTTCTACCCGAGCGTGATGATCGCATATAATTACTGTTACACGACTTTCTTGGCCCGAGCGGTCCGGTGGCGCGGGCGAGACAAGATGGGCTTCTTGGATTATCAGCAACCGCCGCGGCTGTTGGAATTGCTAAAAGACAGTGTGAACATCGCACCGAATGGTATGATGTATGAGATTTCTGGCCATGAAGCCCCTTCTTGATTTCAGGGGCATAAAATCACATGTTCACGCAGCCTTGTTCGTCTCCTCCTTGTGCGTTTTTACGTCTCTTGGAGTTGCTTGATAGCGTGTTTCTGCAAAATTAACATATAAGCATCTGTATTGGGCGTGTACAACACGGAATAACTCACGAGGAGACTGGATTCCATCCCAAAAAGCGCTAGCTCAAACAATCGGTATTCCAACAGTGCTCCAAGTGATTGTGTATTTCGGCTAGTTCATCGCCGAAGGCAGTAGACACGGAAAAATCCCAGGTCGACGCCGCATTGCTCAAACTCTTGGTTCGGTTGATGATATCCGCTGTTTCATGTGATAATCTGTGGGTCATGGATCCCATGCCACAAGGACTATATGAGAGGCATTTCCAAGAGGGATTGTCCGTTATTGATATCTCTTCCGAGGAGTATCAGCCACACTACGATCCTCCTTTAGCTCCTTGGTCTTAAAGCTTTCTTTGCTTCGTGCTCTGCTCGCTTCCTAGTAAAATTCAAGATTCAGCATAAGTCTCAAATCGTCATCAGCTAAGCATACCTTCGTGGTATCCATAAGAGTACTGAAAAGAATTGATTCAGCGAAGACTTTGAGTACGAAACTTGAGTTTTTCAAATGGAAAGGACCAATAAACCAACTACTAGGAGTGGTACAGTCCATCACTGGCTGCCAGTTAGGTGTGCAACTCATTGCACGGGACAGAAATCAATAAGCGAAACAATACGAACGGTTATGAAGAGGCATGTGCCAATTGGATGATGATGATTGGTGGTAAAGGACTATCACATTGGCAATTATCGGGACTTGGACCACCATTCCACTACGTCTGCTGACAATTTCTGCAGCCCTTTATCCGACATGTATCCTGCGACCTGGACTTGGGAGCTGTTTCCATCACTTTTGTTGATCGCCACAAGCCTCTCTGAGACCTTTATTTGATAGTTGGTAGTTGCAGTATTCGCCCCTGCATTCTGTGGTATCTTGCCTTGGTTTGTTGAGTTCTTCAAGTCGGTGTTAACTGACTCCAAAATTCCGAGTAAAGAATCACAAAGTTCACGACAATATTTGAAAGTTGAAATGTTTTTTTTCGTGAGTTGATCCACATCAGTAGATGTCACCTTTGTAAGGTTTGTCTTGGCGTCACTCTCGAGGGCCTCAAAGTCTGCGATTGTATTTTCTATCAACTCTTTGACTTCGTTAGCCCCCAGACCCGTGATACATGAATCCTGACTTTAAAATCGAAAATATCAGTTAGTAGTCATTCTCTTATTCGTGAAAGCGTAGACTTACAGTGTCTGAGTTTCAATTGCTGCGTCAAGAACCGATTTATAGCCGTTGAAGATCAGTCTCAAATTCTCAATCTGACTCTGTCGGTTGTTTATCAAAATTCTTCATTGATGTTTAATGAATGAGCTTTCTCCATCAGTCATCGATTGAATGGTCTGTAAGACTACCCGAGAGAGCCAATCGCAGGTCTCCTGTAACCTTTGCAACGGAGGATCGAGCCTGGGAATGATGGCATCAGAGGCGACTCCCACAGTCTTCCCCAACCGCTGTAAAGTCGCCTTTACAGACTCGACCTCCTCAATCAGGTCGCGTAAAGATTTTTGTTTCGTTGGAACGGCTTTTAAAGTCCTCAGAAGACCATCATTGGCCAGGGTTGCTGAGGCTACAGTGCCACTTAACGTGTTGGAAGAGTTGGTGTGACAGGCCATAGATTAGGAAGTAAGTGTCACATAGGAGCTGGCTTCCAAAAACCACAAGGGTTCACCTCTTTAAAAAGGAGCCATAAATTGGTCAAGGTTACTTCCCCACCAGGCTTGGAGATCGGATATGTGCCTAGCAAATAAATCCGGGCCTACATGCGCTGGAAAAAAGGGAGGTCGACGTCAGGCGACAGATGGTTGCCTGCACAACTGGATAGAAACAACTAACTACGAATTCCAAAACTGACTAAACTGACGCAATTTGGACGGCAAAGTGTTACACAACGAAATCATGTACCTTTGTGCAGGGTTTGTTAGGTCAAGTCCTCGTCCTATTCCTGCTTTGGTCGAAGAGAAACAAATCCAAATTCATCAACATGAGTCGGAAAATTGTGTACCCTTTGCGCACTGGGATTGCTCGATAGGGCCCGTATGCGTATGGAATTGACGTCTGGGAGGCCAGCAGGCCCGGCTATTTCAGTGGTATCGATAGGATCATCGTCGATATCGTTGCCCGACCGGCTCAAATCAACATCATCGGGGTCGAGTTGGAAGAGTCTCAAAAGACGGTCTTGCACATCCTCGGTGCTGCCTAGCGCACCACTAAGCATCGTTTGCGGATTCAACCCAACTTCTTGAATCCACACCCGAAAGCCATGGAACTTGGGATGGCACAGCCCATAATAATATGGCAGGGCATTCGATGGGATTCGCGTGCGCACCCTGTGGAAGTGGCTTATCCACGACTTGGCAGCGTATCGGAAGAACTCACCAATGTTTCCTGTGGGAGGCTGTCCTCGTTCGCCGGATTTTGAATTTTTTGCCAGGCAATAAAGGTATGTCACGCACACTTCCAGTAGGAGAGCGTGCGACACAGAGAATGAGAAGGTGTGCTGCCATACAGAGCCTTCTTCCACGATACACTGGTGACCACTGTTGGAATAGTCATTGAATGGACTGAGCGGTAAGCCTTCGGCCATGGCGTGGTTATCAGTATCGTTAATGGTGTTCCCAGAAAATACTGGAGCCTCTTCGCCAAGCTCAATCTCGAAAAGACCACTCATTTCCTCCGACCCCTGGAGATTTGGCGACCTTGCATCGCAAGTTGGCGTGGTAGCAGCATTTCGATACTGTGCGGTTGGCCTCAGCAGAAATTCTCGTGCAGTTTCATGGACAAAGTAAACCCTCTCCTTGATAATTCGCACGAAATGTCCACCGAGAGCCTTGACATGGTTTTCGAGTGGATAAACCAAGTCGGAGTTAACATTGTCAAACGTTTGAAGGCTAGGTCGTGTAGAGGACTCAGACACAGCGAATGTGTCATGATCGGGATGAACGGCCAATGCAACGCTGAGTTCAGCCACTGTGAGGGGTCGGATTGCTGCAATCATAATCTGTAGCATCTTTCTCGCTTTTTTAGGATCTTTCCGTGCTTTGAGCAGCTCAGTATAGATGGCATCGACGCTGCGGCTCTGGAGAATGGCACGTAGATCTCTCTGAGACGCTCCTGCCTCAGTTCGCTCTTGCAGTAACCTGATGATTAGTGTTGTCCACAGAAAGGTCCTGTCGGCGCGATCGATGAGCTCGGCCATAATATCTGTCAATAATTTTTCAGGAAACCCTTGAACCACGAGGCCATTAATAGCAGCTTTAACAACCAACTCGATGTCCCTGGTAATTGCCTCCGTTTCATCCTCTCCCCGGAGCCGAATCATCGAGCAAAATGGCCCAGAAGTTTCTCCAGATTGAGGACTCCTTGATTGACCCAGCTTGACTTGGTTCTGGGCTTTGTTGAAGGCAACCTTTATGGAATTGTCAGGTCGACTTGTGATCAAGATCTTGATTAAGATCTTGGCCACTGGTCCGTCTCCCCAGGTAACAAATGAATCCAACATGAGTCGTATCAGTTGTTCTCGAGAAACAGGTTCGCATTCATCAAGGGCATCAATAAAGCACAGGGTGGGTTTTGCGTGACTATCACTAACCGACCGGGTGAAGATCTCCCATAAGGTGGCCAAATTATCCAGGCTGTGCCCACTTGTCAGGTGCTTGCTGGCATGTTTTGCCAGACTTCCTTGTGCTTTGTAAAGCTGATGCAATATTGCCTGCATTGCATAAATGGCATTGCTCTGTTCCTTATCGTCTCTTTTGAAAAAGAAAAAACACAAGTTCTGTGATGACAATTCGCTGTCTGCCTGCCGATGATAGTCCACCAAATAGGAGGTGAGAACGGATTTGCCACATCCAGGGTGGGCAGATATCCAAATAAATGACGATGGGGTTTGCAACCACTGTTCGTATGCACGATGCTGAAAGATCCACGTACATGTTCCTTCTATGGGGCACAGGTTTCGACCCTTATGATCTTCGTAATTAGACGTCCACAAATCCGAAAGCAATTTTTCTTTTCCCATTTGCTCATTTCCCGAAGGACCTTGCAAACAATGTTAGCCCAGACACTGGAAGGTCACGGATAAATGCCTCACCATGCACATATTTTCGGGCCATATTCGAAAGGTTCACCCACACAGGTTGGTATCTCTCCTCGTTTTCGTCAGAGAATTTGCAAATACTGCGATGATCGCCATTCATCGGGAGGGCAGTTTCGTTAGACCATTGTAAGATCGCAGAGTGGTTTTCGACAACCTAAAATCTAAGCACTTTGTAGAAACTAAGCCAACACTGTCCTGCACTCACCCGACAATTCAACCTCTTCATCATATCGGTTTCATAGAAGCTATAAATCTCCAGGTCCTTCCCACGTTCCACGAAGGACTTGGATATGCTGGCCAAGATGCGGGAGTTGCTTTCCAAGTCTCTAGACAGCCTCGAATTGGTGGTTGTACCAAGTGTGCCAAATCGGATGATATTGCTGAGCACAGTACCCCAGCTGGCAAGATCAGACCCTTGATGGGGTGTGCCAAAGAAAATCACTCCGACGACCTTCTGCAGCAGTGGTCGATACCTTGCCTTTTCAAATGCCCGATTGAGTGTCTGTTTGAAAACAATTCCGCCTAGACTATGACAGATGAATATGATCGGCCGACCTGGTTCCTCCTGGCGCTGCCTTCTAATGAACAAGTCCTCCAGGAGCTGATCCGCGAACAAGGAAATGTCCCCGGCAGATTTACTCATCTGCACTGCTGAATTGTAACCAAATGACATGATTCGAGCGTTCGGGATCTGTTTCGGGAGGAGATCTTTCAGCCAATTGACCTCTCGCCCGTCAGATACGGGTGTTGCCCACGTCTGGAAATAGTGGCCATTTAAACCATGGATCGCAACAATGTCAACGACAGCGGCGGTATCGGGTTCTTGGTCAGCAAAGATAAACATGCCAAACTTCTTGCTCTTGGGCGCCGCTCGCCGTCGTGGCATGAACTGTCGCAACATTATTGACACTCAATATGCTGTGACAAGGAGAGACTAAATGTAAAAGTGGGCTAGATTTGAATATGTTGATAGACACATCAACATCTGTTTCACGGCTAGGACCTTTGGGTCGACAGACTTAGTACGAAGGCTTCAGCTCGTAACCCCTCTCCGACCTGAGTGCCCAAGGACCCCAGGCTTCGGAGGGATGTTGTCCCGTACCGAACACCGTCACGTGGCTGCGACACACTCCTCCTCACCAACAGGGCCCAAATTGTACTGTATTAAATTCTAAGATCAGACCCTTATTCCAGGTACTGCGCCTAGGACAAGGGATAACTTCCCTCCCGGCTGCTGCCGACATCTGCCCGGCAAACACGCCCTTACTTGCCTCTACGTGAAAACAAACTTGTCACAGCTTTGTTAACTAACCTGTTTGCCCTCTACAAGCTGCACTACAGGAGATAACCACGACAACCACTGCTACAATAGAGCTCTCGAGGGCCAAAACATTTTCAGCCCAATACAGTAATTGTACTGACGATCCCTAAGAACTACAATTTTCTGTGACAATGCAAACAAGTCCAACACCAGTGCTGACGAGAGACTTAAGAATCAGGCAAGTTGTTCCTTGTTGAAACAGTACCAGCAGTGGAGAGTGGAGAACGGAGATACTATAGTTAGTTAGTTAGACCCGCATGTATTAGTCGTTATTGTGCCCATCAATTGCCAGTTAGGGGACTTACAGCAATTCAGACTTGTTGATATCTTGATATCCGATCGATACACGATATGATTGAGTAAACAGTATTTCCGACTGTCATTTCCCTCTTGCCACTCATGTGTCCTAAGTGACAATCTGAGAGGCTTACTGGACACCAGGCATTGCAAATAGTGGCTTGCCGTATTCCCTTACCTGTGGACTACTGATGAACCTGCTTATTATAATCCTCAGCTCGTTAACCACAGTTCTCTCGACTTGACGCGGTGTACTGTAACGCCTTTGGTGGAAGCTACCACCAACAACTCATGACCATGTTATTAGTTTCCTCAGTAGAATCTTCTGCTTGGAGAGGATGGCTTCCTTCAACGATGATGATACTAACTGACCTGAACTGCTTGATCTATGGGAACCAACTTCCTCGTATGCGCCCACCACCGGATCCATAGATCGAGATCGCGAATGGACGCCATAAGTAATCTGCCCTTCACCCGATCTCAAGGAAGTAGTTGGTGGATAATCAGCTTCCTTGCATCAACATCCGTCCGATCACCCAATGTTTTAACCCACGTTGAACGTACAGATAGAAGCGCTTGGGATGAACAAGCCGGAAGTCCAGATCATGTCCACTACTAGTCTATCAGATCGAGTGAAGGCTAAAATTGAAAAATCAAGTTATGGTTAAAATACAACATAAGACTGACTCAACCGCCATCTCGTAAGTGGTTTTGGTTGATTCCAAAGGTGTTGTGTTATGCGAACTGACCTAGTTGACGAAGTAGGCAACAGATCGATATCCATCGGCACGGCGGGCCTCTAGCTTGCTATTATTGGCATTGTCGCATGCTGCATTATTGCTAGCTCTGGCAAAGCACGCTAGGCCAAGTAGAAAAAGAATAATAGGCCTCATAATGAACGAAATGGAAATTGATCTCAGAGGAAGGCGGTTAGGTAGAACAGCAAATGTGAAGTGGTACAGCAGAACAGAAGGAGGAACAGTATTTATAATGTAAAGGCATCCACCTCTTACGAACGGGCCAGACCGAAAGCATGCTGTCCCCAGCCTGACCCCGTGATAATCTGAAACATGGCGGCGAGTGGGGACTGAAAGCCATTGAGTGAACCAAAAAGGTGTCGCAGGATTGCTGCTGTAGAGGTTTCCAACCTAGACCAGACCAGGGGAGCTACTATTTTGTCACGGCCGAAAACATAATTTCTAGGTATTGCAGGTTCCTGTCTCTACAAATATACAGTACTGTAGTATGTGTATATTTGTAAGGCATCTTATAATGAGTCTTAGAATAAGACAAATGATTAAGAAGAACAGGCTATCTACATTCCGGGACTTGATCCTCTACTGCATGTAACTACTTCATGAACGCTTGGGTTCCATCACAAGGGATAAACTGCTCTATTGGTTCTCCTGTCATCTGTACTGAACATTTCGAAAGTTGACTGCTCTACCATTCTTGCGAAGCTCACTCAAAATCGGGAATGACTTGTATAACCGAGACATGAAGGTGAGTCTAATCCTGAGCCTGGTCCTCTGTCTGCCATTTTCGTTTTCGACTGACGCAGTTAGACCGCGTTTCTTCAATGGAATGCGCATCAAAGAAGTGGCGACGAAGGTTCGTAACGTTGGTATAGTCCTTTCTCAACAAGGATGTGGACAGAAGAAGACTGTTGATGTTCCCAAAGCGTCAAGATGTTGGTCAATGTGATTAAGGAGTGTTGCCTTAGCCACCCACTGTTGAAATCTTTCGTCCGATTTTTTGTCTTCATCGCCCAGGCAAAATGGACAAAAGCCAGGGGCAACAAGCGTATAACGGAATGTTAACATCCCACATCGAGGCTGGAGATTATTAATGCGGCTTTGGCAGTGGCCAATCCAGGCTTGCTCATCGCAGTACATTTCCGCGCAGAGATAGCAGAACAGCACAAAGTTCCGCTGGACACGCCTATGGGCGCGCTTCTCGTTCCTATATCGTTGTTGGTATTGTGGCCCACCTAGTGATTGTCTTCGGCACTGCAAGATATGTTTGCCTTCCCTTGAAATGGTATTCTACTTTGGTTAGTCCGGGAATCTTCAACAAGCGACAGAGGATACGTACTGTGACATAAGCTTGGAACATATCGGACATCGATTTTCCTCAGGTAAAAGACCGGGATAGTAAACGACACGTTCCGTGGATGTGAAAAGCGCAACTATATCCTCTAGGCATTGTTGGCTGATAACGCTATCCAATGAAGTTTCCGTGAAGAGGGATTCTCTGAGACGAGCATGCTCTGGTAGATACTTCTGATATATGTTGAATAAAGACGTTCCGTCGCGTTCCGTGAATTCGTTTCCGGAGACGTATTCGTCGTACGCCGAATGCCACCAATCTTGGATGAATGCCTTCTTCCAAGCTTCTAGACATTTGGCTTTCCTGTTATAGAGCTGTGTGCGTTCAACAGCAAGTTGTTCATTTAGCTGGGGCTTTCCAGCAATCTGTGCAGTCAGGAAAGCAATTCTCCATTTCATAGCCTTGATGTCATCTCTCTCTTCAAATGCTGTGATAGCAGCTGCATCTAATCTCTGGGGAGCATTAGGATCTCTGTGGTGAGCCATGCTCTGCTCCATGTTGCGACACTCATAGTCAGGTTCCAAGTCATAGAATAAGGCCTGAATATCCAAAGACTTGAGCACAGATTGGTATTTAATATGCGTGTCATGGTTTTGATGGTCAAGAGCCTGGCCACGGGTCGCTTCCGACGCCTTGGCTTAATGAGGTCAGTGTAGATTCTGTAAGAAAACTGAAAATGACTTACGGTCAATGCAGTTTGCAACACCAGCACGAATTCCGTGTACGCGCAGTTGGTCCTTGAAGCCTTCACGCTGAGCTAGACTCCCAAAGTTGTAGTGCATAGAGGAGAAGGACAATGCTTTGTTTTGCTGAGGTCCTTCCGGAGTTACCATCCTAAAGAAAGGAAGATCTTTTATATTCTCATTCCATTCAAGCGTGTATGATTCTCTCCACTTTGGCGGTCTCACGGCGAGAACGTCGGTCACCGTACTGAGCCCCTTGTAAGCGCCGTCAGCTACGCCATGCACTATCACCCAGAAAACAAAGCTCATCCCAATCAATATAGCTATAGTTCTATGAAACGGTGGTGTCTTTTCATAGGGAAATTTAAAGGCGTGGATGCCAATTCCATGGCTCAAAATGATGCATTCAAGATTTGGTCTGTTTAAGGTGAATGGTCCTTTTCGAAGGTAACGCCAATTTTCTATCCTTCTACGTTAGCTGTTAATGTTTCCCTTACTTTACATTCTATCAAAACTTCAGACTCCCAGACGAGGTGATGCCAGAGCGTCGCCCATTTTTGGACTTTGGTGGGGAGGCCACTTGTGGCACATCCCACTTTCAGGATGTCAGGATACGGCTTTCAGGATGTCGACTTTCAAAGACTGCTGAAACGATTGTCAAGCAGGCCAAGAAATAAGCTCATGTCAACGAAAGATCTCCTATTGTTCAGGCTTGACTACATGAATTACACCGTAAATGCCTTCAAAACGCGACAAATTTGTAATAGGATTTGCGGGTGGTAAGCAGCGACGTAAGCTCGAGTTTGCTTTCAATATCTTGTCAGTTTTCTATTTTTCCTCTCTTTTTTTCTTTGTTTACGGTATTACATAAATGGAAATAGTTTAATTATTGGTAAATATCTGCACAGAGAGCATCATACGTCCATTTTTCCAATTACTGGGAGAACTTCCTGTTCTGTTTCGTTGCAACAATACCCTTGTCAGAGATTAGACTTTTCGTCGCAAAACGAGCTCTAAGAGATGACTTGGAGGGAGACGATAGGGCGGGGGAAGCATACAGCAGCAGGAAGGGGTAATTTAATAACACCGTTCCAAACGTGACAAACTATTGAGAAGGGTCGCAAAATCAATAACGTCAATCCCTCCGCAACCGCTTCCCGCCGCACCCGCTCAACCGCAAGATACCTTGGAAACAAAGACCCCAAATGTGAATAATGTGGGCGATAATTGCAATAAAACCAGAGTTATATCGCTTGAAACTACCCATTCATCGATATAGTTCATTTTGACCCTAAATTACGTCGGGTTTTGTGTATATTCATTGCGAGAATTGCTACCGTCTGCTTTGAGATATCTCCTGCAATTCGGCCAAACCCAACAAGGCTCACAACCACGTATCCTTTGGAAGAATAAGAAGCTATTCCTTAGTAGATAGACAAATTATAACAAAGTCTACGAAGAACTTAGTCTTCTCCTTACGTGTTATATTTGAAAAAACCATTCATATGGTCATTCGTGAAACTACGAGGATACATTATTTGCTTACTTAATGTGATATGTAAAATTACAATACACACTGTCCTGTAAATAATCTGTCCTGTAAAAAACCGAAGTCCAAATTTGACCTTCCTCTAGTCACGTGCTTTGCTGGTCTTAGTCCCAAAATGATATCATTAGGAATCTGGCAGTCTTATTCACACACCGAACATCCTGAATCGCCGCAACCTGGTAGAAGACACCAATTCATGACAGTGCAAGATCACTGTAAAACTCGATAGGAGCCTTATTATCCAGCCAAGCTGACAGGTGTACGGGTATAGCGAGCATTCTACAGATCCAGTCTCTCGTGATCTCACATAAAGCCCAACCCCCATGATAGATCCTCCATCCTCCCGGCTCCTGGATATCCATCGTGCGATTGTCGTCATCCTGAAACTGAGTGGCGCAGGTGAGTATATTGAGAGGGTCATTAGGGACTGGGAGCAATTAGATATTAGGGAAGATGGGTCAACAAATTTGGGTTCCCTGGCGGGCCTACGGCTTGGTGCATTAATCGCACTCATCTTTGTGCTATTTACATAACGTTTGCGAGCGATCAGGGTAAATAACGTCATACATACACGTATACTGTTACATTTACGTTGTCACTGATTGATGTCACCTATTGGCGCTTGTTCGTCCAAACGTAAGCTATAGCAGGCATATACTCCTATTAATTTCTTTTTTATCCGTGAGAAGGTATCAAACGGTTGTATCCGGCTTTCTCATCATCTAAGGAAATATGTTAAAAGCATCTTACATTCCAGAATACGCGACTAACGTGGAATGATACCGGAATGTGAGCCCTGGATAGCCATCGCGCTCGTCGTTGTTATTTAAAAATTGTACGTCTTCATGTGTTGCTACTGGACTCTCGGTTGTAACAAAAATATTCTATGCTGATCAATCATGCCTTTGCCGACCACTTCCTTAGAAACGTCCAGGAATCCGCCCGAGGGCACACTGATCAATGCGCTTGACTATGTGACAGGAGAGCACCCACTCCTACCTGAATCTACGGATTTAGTTCTTCGCGATGCGGAATCTTTCAAAAAGCAGGTTATGCAACACGAAAAGTTTTGGTGGGACGTTTTCGTCTGTATGCAGCAACGCGTGCAGGCCAGCACTGGCTCAGAACCTACCGAAGCACACCCAGCTTTTACCAGCGATACCTCTCCACATGAAGAGAGCTCGACCGAGAAGATAAATCAAAGGGTACTCGGCAGTGAACTCGGTAAGATCGGCAATAAGGAAAATCCAAGTCTCAGGCCAACCGCCAACCCATCTGCGAGAGGCACTTTTCCCGACATGAAGCCTGAGGCTTCTAAATCGAGGTTTACTCATGGTCAAAGCATCCCCGATCATGCACGGCTCCTTCAGGACTTCTCGGAGTTCCAGCAGCGGTTACAACTACTGCTGCGGAGATTGGATGAGCAAGAAGAAACAACGAGATTGTGGAAGAGTCGGGCCGAAGACAATTTTTGCAAGCTCACCGTGCTTGGAAAGGCTGCCCTTGATGCCATTAGTGATGCGGAAAAAGCCACACAGCTCAGGGAGCTTTTGGCAGAAAGCGGGGCTGCGCGTCCTGCGATCCCGCCTTACCCTATTCCCGGTCACCTCCTAGGACTCCCAGGATTTATCAGCAGTTTGCTATTCCCGTACTGTATCTAACGACTACGGTCATGGTTTATGAAAGAACCACATGAGCCCTTCTTTTGCAGAGTTGTTTAGCGAGAACCTTTGAAAATCATTGTTATATCTCCGATTTTTTTTAGCCTGTTTCACATCGGAGTCCACTAGCAACTCTTCAAATACTGTGTAGGCTTGCTCTGAAACCTTCCCCCTTGGTTGTCAATTTGTTTTGTGAATTGATGATCTATGGAAATACCCACAAGCGTCCAAGAGCATTCTCGGCACAATATTAGAAATTCGTAGGGCATACATTTAAAAGTAACCTAACTTGCAAAAGCCGAAAAGACACGACATATCAAAAACTAATAACTGAACAGTACTCCTTGAAGCCCCAGCTTTGTATTTCATCTTCAGCCCTTCGTACATCATCACTGCAAGACCTTTTTGGTCTGCGCCCACTGCTGGAATTGGTCTTGCGCTTTCCAGCCTGAGAGGCCTTTGACCCGCCAATAGGAACTGCATCCACTACCGTATACTGTAAGTAGTTTGGCCTTTTGGTATTATTTACATGTCATACATCTGTTGCAAGCCATTGTTGAAACAACTTGAACCCTTCCGTCAGAGTATCCTCAGAATCCGTCAAGCCTGACTCAACCCATTGATTGGCTTCCTTCAACCTAGGTAGCTTCTCTTCAACGCAGGCCATTATTTTGGCTCGCATCTTCAACGAAGCTTTCTGGTTTATGATGGAGTATAACTTGATTGCCAAAAATCCCGTCAGTCCCAAAGCACAAATGCCAGCCAGCAAAGGGTTTGTCGCAACCAGTGCGCCACCTGCTGCTTCAAAACCGATGCCACCAGCGCTAACAGTAAGACTGGCGGCCCCGACGCCAGCACCAGCACCCAAGATACCTGTGACTTGACCTAAATCTGAAAGTATATGAATGGCAGATTGTAATGAACTCGCTATAGTGGACGGTGCGAGCATATGAGATTCGATTGTGATTTGGAGATCGCGTCTCCGGCGACATAGCAGGTGATAGATACGGGGAAGCTTTTTGTCCGAGGCCCCAGATATATCAAGAAGATGAATGAAAAGCATTGCGACGTCATGGCAGTTCCACCACAGTGGGTTGTAATAGGGCTTCTTTTGACGCGGCCAGTCATTCTGCCAACAGTTCCAAAGGATGACGTTGACTGTACCGTGTTAATACCTCTACAGTATAAACAAATTTCAGGATCATAGCTTCTAGGCTATGTTTCCTCGTTGGAGAGTTTTGAAACGAAAAAACTCACATTGATTTGTAACATCATTCAATTCCTGGTTCGTCCATCCGGTTTCTTCAATCGCCACGATCCTCTTAATGTCAACTTCGTCCCATCTGTTGTTACTGATTTGATTTTCGATCTTCCCAAAGTGTTCAAAAAAATGAGCTTTCTTGAACTTTTGTAGGAAGTTTAGCCGCGGATCGTCCCAAACGAATGCAGGTATGAGCGCTGCTGCGACATGGTATCGAAAATCAGGCAAGCTGCAAAGTCCTGGCTGCACACGTCGAGTATTAAATCCCGTCTCGTTCCATCCCTGACTTGGGGGAACGTCCATGGGCTGAGAGGGTCCAAGTAGGTCGGTGCGAGAGGCGACGAGGAAGAGTCGATACTTTGCCGATCTGCTTGATCTATGTTTGTTAATATGCAGTGGTTCACTGACGGGAAAATCTCACTCCAACCTTTCTTTTTTTGCCATCTTTCTCGACTTGGTGGTTACGAAACCGCTTGAGCCTAGGCTCAGTAGAAAGAGGATGGCCCCTCAGTGAAAGAAGAAGCGGGGAACGGATCGACAAAAATACAATCAGCCCTTGTAAGATAGGCATCCATTACCATTCTCTAAATCACATGGTAATGCCCAATACATACTAGTGTCGCTTGGCGCTTGAGACAGGAAAATCCATCAACAAACGTTGAGTCTTATTGCTATTTTCCCTCTAATTCAGAGCCCAGTCAGAACTTCGGCCGCAAGCACTCCATGGTTAAAGATACTGACCGATCTTACTGGTATATTTCCCATTCGTTTGATCATGTAAAGCCGTAAGGGTTATACAATGCGTACCGAAACTTGAGTGCGACTACCTAAGTACATATAATTACACGGGTGAATGATCATTGGAAATGCCAAATATGCCCTGTAATTTCTTTGACTGTTTGGAATATGTAGTGCGTAGTCAATCGCAATCTAAGAATAGCAAAATAAACGCGGCCTGTCAAAAGCTAATAACCGAGCAGTACTCTTGAAAGCCCCAGCTTTGTATTTCATCTTCAGCCCTTCGTACATCATCACTGCAAGACCTTTTTGGTCTGCGCCCACTGCTGGAATTGGTCTTGCGCTTTCCAGCCTGAGAGGCCTTTCTTGCCTCAAGGTTGCGCTGGGCCTCAATTATATCCTCGTAGCTCATGACTTTAGCATTGCCCACCTTGCGTGCTGGTTTCGATGTTCGACTTCGTTTTTCATTATTCTGTGCCAACAGTCGCTCATCGTCATTACAAAGAAGTGCACAGTCCGCAAATGCCTTCTCCGCAGCGTGAGCAAGACGGTTGACGAGAAACTTAGAATCCTCGTCCCACCCACGAGCTTCTTTTTGCACCTTACGACCCAGTGATTGTAGACCGTCAGCCGTGATGGGTGTTTGTGGTTTTTGGAGCAGCTCTGCACTGGCAGGGTAATGGGCTACCTTAGCAATATTCCCCCTGTTGGAGCCACTGGCTCCTGGCGGCGGCTGAATGTCCTTCAATACCAGGTCAGGGTTCCAAGGAAATGATACAGTTTTAGACCAGCCCGCGTTGATGTTACGGGGCGTTATGGCGGAGTTTCGCGCCCGGCTATAAAGGGAAGTGAAATGCTCCAACCGCACAGCATTAGCTCCACCCCGATAGAAGAGCTCTACTTGTTCCCGATAGGCAGTCTTCAGTGCACTGAACACGCCCACATCACATGGCTGAAGCTTATGCGAAGTATGCGAAGGAAGTCGGCAGGGAATGATGTTATTTGCTAGACAAAACTTCAAGACCTCGAGGGACTCATGCGTAGCAAACCCGTCGTTGATCAAAAGGCGCGGCCGCTTACCAGCACGAGCTTTGGTTTGAGGGTCAAAGACATGCTGGATCCAGTACAGGTTGATGGAGCTGTCTGTGTATCCGTTCTTTGAACAGGCGAAATGCCATCCGGGAGTGGGATAAGTGGTCCAATTACTACGGTGGGTAGAAGCAGGCCAAACGACCAGGGGATTCAGAGACCTACCATCTGCCGACAGGCACTCAACGGCAGTAACCATTTTCCGTTTTACAGCAGCACCGCGATATTTACACATCTCCTCCCGCCCAACTAACACCTTGAGAGCACCCAAAACGCTCAGGAGGACGCCTGTCTCGTCCATGTCATAAACATTCTCAGCGAGGATCGCCGGATTGTCCAGCTCCGTCTTGATGACGCGAAACCAATCCTGCACCTTGTCGTAGATGTTGTGATCATGTCTCTTCCAATCTATTGCTTTAGTGTCCTCGATGTCAGCTCTGGGTGACGGGTGTAAAATGCTTGTGGCCAGTTCTTCCCTGGTGGGCGAGTGTCTTCATTGGCGACCGGGATTGGCATCTGTGATGAGCGTCGGCGGGCGATCTCCCACGCCAGAGCACGTAAGAATTTGACCGGGAGGGGGTAACCATTCTTCGATAACCTAAGAACGTATTCCAGCGATGACTTTTCTTCCTGCGGAGTAAGGTATTGCTGTTCCACAGCTCGCTCCTTTTTGGAAATCCTACCATGGTCACGATCGCGTAACGTAGAGCTTGGAATACCGCTAGACTTCGATAGGGCTGAGTAATTTTTGGGCTGGTCAGACCGTTCGTTTAGGGCGAGCACAGTTGTTGCTGGGTCGTTGTGCTCGTTTATCGGATTCAGAGTGTTTGGGTGTGACAGGAAAAAGTAAAACTGGCTCTGGAGGTGGGCAACACGATTGACCCGAGAGGCATGTGGGCAGGAATCTCTAAAATTAGAATTCCTTACATTACATGCTCAGTACGCTTTGTATGTAATGGGCTGTACAAAAACCATCCTTCATAAGCAGCCATGTACCTTAAGACTTTTTCGTGCGAACAAACAATGAAATTCTTTCAGATGTGGACAGTGTGTAGAGTATATAATTTCTACAATTGTTAATCGGAGGTATCCGATTACCAAGAACTATAACCTTAATTTCGTAAACAACGACTGGTTAGGGACCATGGAAGCTTAGCACAACAATTTGCCACAGAAACCTTGTTAGCAACAGAAGTCTATTTGCGATGAAATATGCCAACAGATCAACGTAATTTTAGGTGAAACTTGAACACGCTATAATGAAGATATTAAATTTTTTGTTCAAATTGAGCTTCATGATCTGCCACCCGTTGGTTGACTTTGCTGGCATTGTCTTCCAAAGTACCTCAATCCCAAGCGGTTACGAGGGGACACGGTTGCGGTGGGACGCACGTTACTTCATGATTAACCAATACACCTACGAGGTCGTCTGTGTAGTTTATTTAGACAAATTTTCACACTAATATCTGGTGATGCCCTCTACATGTTCGCCATTATATAGCGGTCTGCTACGAAGTTGAAATCACTGAAATCACCGAAATAGACACTGCCACTACTTAGTCGGCTTTGTCTGTGATCTACCTCAAATCGCGAGTCCCTTCGAGACGTGGCCTTACCAAAGCTCCAATTAACCAGGGTCAAATATAGGGTCAGGTTAATGGCACTACATGAACGTTACTCGCACTACATACTAAACCTTTTTGGGTCAGTACCCGCCTTGGCAACTTTTCACCACCAAAAAGGTACATCCGAACCTAAAAAAACCTACGGTCTACCAAGGCTTCTGTCTAGATATTTCTATGAATAATAAGCCCTTTTTTGCGGTCGCTCTTAGGGTCAGTATCTACTTCGAGCACGTCACTATATGTTTACCTATTATTCGATAATTATTATGGCTATTTATCATAAGAACCAGAGGAATATGACTACACATAAAGACAGCGATATTTCTGTAGGTCTTAAATGTACCTTTTGCTGGTGGGGCGGACGTTAACCGGAAAGGGCCTAGTTTGTAGTGCGAGTAACGTTCATGTAGTGCCATTAACCTCACCCCAAATATATATGGGGAGGAATCATGGAAATGAACAAGGCAGTCTTTGTGGGAGGTGCGACGAGCACAAGTTCAGAAACCGAGTTTGGGCTTATTTGTCGTCATTGGCATTGTGTTAAAGTATTGGAGCTGATGAATGTTACTTTGCTTTATTCGATCTAACTACTGTACATCACCAGCTTGGTATTTCTGTCGTGCGATACGGCGGTTGACTAGTCTCTAGGTCAAATACAGTAATCTTTACTCCCCCAGAAGATCATTCATCTGTGAAACCAAACTTCAACTATCTTGCATATTTCTTCGGTCGGGCCTTTCAGTAATCCCTTTGCATTGCAGTCAGTACATCTGGCGCAATAGTGACGATGGTCCAGCAACATGAAGTATATTTTGTTGGATTTCGAGGCAAGAATGGCATCGACATAACAGCTGCGTCTGGGGAATTTTAACTTTATTGTCCTTTCAATCTTTTTACTAAGATCAGAAGAAATCATAATCACCACCTGAATCCATAAACAAGTGTACAGTACCAACCATTAATGCCTTCCATATCCAGAAACACAGAGATACTATTCAACCCCCTAATCATATGATGCTCTAATCCAGATATGGCTATAACGGTATCTAAAAGGTGTTTCGGATTCGTACGGTAATATACAAAACGAGTGGACAACTTGATTACTCTATGACGATGAAGCCGATGACGAGCATAGCTTGGCCCAATCTCGGATCTCACGAAGCTATTATACCTTGGTATCTTGTTTAAAATGCAGGTTCAAACGACCGCGTACAGCGGTGTCCGGAACAGTACCTAAGTCAACCAGATCACTTTTGTTCACAACTGTCTTGCGGGTCCTCCCTCCCGCTTAGTCGCAAGCAACAGCTTCGTTAGCGCCTCGTGGCCCGACAAGGTGGCCACTGGCGACGGCGTCAACCATGAGCCCGTTAAGTTGACATCCACCCGTCCAGTCGCTAGCAACAGCTTTACCACGCCCACATGACCCTTCCGAGCGGCCCATAACAACGGCGTGCGACCGCAGGAGTCTCTAGAGTCGACATCCACCTTTCCGGTCGCAAGCAACAGCCTCACCACTCCCTCGTGGCCATTCCTGGCAGCGCGAGACAACGGGGTGATGTTGAAGTCGTCCTTTGTGTCGGCATCCACCCTCCCAGTCGCTAGCAACAGCTTCACCACCCCCTCATTGCCGTATAAAGCGGCCCATAACAATGGAGTGTTATCGTCAGAATCTCTGGAGTTAACATCTGCCTTTGCGGTTGCTAGCAACAGCCTCACCACCCCTTCGTGTTCACCGGACGCAGCTTCTGATAACGGCGTGCGACCGCAGGAGTTTCTAGAGTCGATACCCACCCTCCCAGTCGCTAGTAACAGCTTCACCACTCCCTCGTGGCCATTCCTGGCAGCACGAGACAACGGACTGCAACCTTGCAAGTCCTTTGAGTCGACATCCACCCTCCCAGTCGCTAGTAACAGCTTCACCACTCCCTCGTGACCATTCCGGGCAGCGCGAGATAACGGACTGCAACCTTCAGAGTCCTTTGAGTCAAGATCCACCCTCCCAGTCGCTAGTAATAGCCTCACCACTCCCTCGTGACCATTCCGGGCAGCGCGAGATAACGGACTGCAACCTTCCGAGTCCTTTGAGTCGATATCCACCCTCCCAGTCGCTATTAATAGGCTCACCACCCCTTCATGGCCACCGAATGCAGCTTCTGATAACGGTGTGATGTTAATGCCATCCTTTACATCGACATCCACCCTCCCAGTCGCTAGTAACAGCCTCACTACCCCCTCGTGGCCATTCCCGGCAGCGCGAGACAACGGGGTGATGTTGAAGTCGTCCTTTGTGTCGGCATCCACCCTCCCAGTCGCTAGTAACAGCCTAACTACCCCCTCGTGGCCATTCACGGCAGCGCAAGACAACGGTGTTCTGCCGTCGCTATCGATCACATTAACATCTGCCCTTTCCGAAACACATTTTTGAGCCGTCGCCTCGCTACCCTGTAGGGCTGCCCATAATAGAGCCGAACTTCCAGAATTCAGCAAATTGCGTCGATATAAGTACGGATTCAGTAGAGAATAAGTATAGTAGTTGGCTTTCGCCAGTGAGTTAATATCTTTCTCGGCATCCAGAAAATCTGCAATGAGAAGGAGTAATTCGGAAGGCACACTGAGCAGAGACATTTTCTTGCTCTATCTCGAGGCTTTGGACACGCTCTTCTTTTGCTATCTGCAGAATTGTAGAATCTGAGCAGCTAGCAAGAGGTCGTCAGTTCATTTCTCTTCCTAATTCCGTAGCATTCTTATCATTACATTGTCTATGGGGGCCATGTAATTTACACCCTATTCATATTTGGCATAGGGCATTATGTGAATCGGGGTGGAAAGACCACTTTGTTGTTCCCGAAATGGAATGCTATAACGGACGCCACGATACCGTCTTCGCTGACTTGACGGAGTAAAATCTCTCTATGAGATGCGCCACGGTCCACCGATTCACTTTGGTGTAATTTTGCATTCTTGGATTGCAATGCTTCCATCAAAGGAAAAATCCGACTTGACTGAATTGAAGGATTTAAAATTCGACCATAATGTCTGGATTGTGTAAGCCTATCCGAAAGACCGGGCTGATGAGGCCGCATCAAGTCGGACCAGTTTCTGTACTTTGATATAGATCTTAGATTCTCAAACCTAATAAACGGGAAATATTCATATACACCTTGAAAGCTACTCAGAGTTCAAGACGTTCGCGTGGGAAATGGGGAAAGAAAAAAGAAACAAAAAACTAAAATAATCAGCCGCTACGAATAGAAATTTTATTTCTCTAACGGTCCAGTTATGACTATCAACTTCCTGTCCAGTGCTTCGTCACAACTAGTCAAAATTTAGGGGGTGTTGACAGAATTCTGTTTTGCTCCATTGACCACAACGAGACTCGGACGGGAACGGCCCCTTCTCATTCTACATATTCTCATGCTTTGCTTGCAGTCTCCTTCGTACTTCGATCACTCTGACTAAGTCTGGTATCATGGGGTCATGCCCAAAAGCCACACTTGACCAGATGGTCTCTATCATTGCAGTTCTGTTTTCTGTAGCTACACTGATCTGCTTGACCATCGTATTTGTTGGATGCACATCGCCATTCTCTCCTTTTAATCTGTACTTCATGAAGGTGATAAGGAGCCGCCTACGCAACACCGAATAGAATAACGCTGACTGAGATCTATAGGTTGACCTGTCCGATTTTGCACAGATAAGCACTCTTCATACCCGCGGTTCACAGGAATTGACTCATAAAGACCATACAACAGTCACGGTACAGGTAGGAGATGCGGAAAGCGGTAAGCAGCACGAGACTGCCTTCTTAGATCATGTAGCTAGACCAAGACGGAGCTATCTCGATACGCTACTCACAGACGTAAAGGGGGAATTGCCCGCTTACTACCACATTGGCCTTCTGGGTTATTGTGAAGGCCAAAATGGTACGATATCGCGCTGTACAAATCCCGAAATTTCATTTTCATTCAGTCTGTGGGCGACATTCTCTACTTACGCCGCCAAATTGGCTGCATGGTTAGGAAATGGCAAACAGAGCTTCCTTTCCGGAAATGTACATCACTCCTATGCAATCATCTGCCTGTACACTTCGGGCTTCGTCACAGCATTCTTGACTTTGGCTGCGAGTATCAATCGCGTCTTTTTCTCCAAAGTCGGTGGTTTTCTTCTGGTGTTCTCTGTGGTAAGCTTTCTCCTATTCCAGTAACCGTATTAACGCTGACCAGACATAAATCACAACTGTACTGTTGACTGTGGCGACCTCTTGGGTAATCAGCTTCTATAGCTCCTATACAGAAGAGGTCAACCAAATTTAAGGAGAGTATGGTGCCCGGGCAAGTCTTGGCACTCACAGCATTGCATCCACATGCCTGGCAGTGACATTCTCTCTAGCATCAGTCTGCTTGGCTGTTTTGCGGACCAAGATTTAACCCGGTGGCAGCGTATTCAATCGTTTGATAAATTTCATCCTTCGGTTTGATTTTTTTTCCTTTGGCTCCTTATGTCTTCTTTTTTTTGTGTCTAACTAGCTACAGAGGCATCAAGACCAGAATATGACTAGTATCTGCTATCGCTTCTATCCAAATGGTATCGCATGCCCTTTTCCTGACAGTTGTTCTACTACCAGTTAGGATACCACTGATTTAGATGGGTTATGTTTAGTCCTCGTCTACGTGGGGTACGTATTCCTAAAGTACAAAGTATACTATCCGTCAGTTGCTTTTCATTTGAGTTCCTTTCGTGGACTGACTAGAACAAAAGTTTGGATACAATTTGGCTAAGGCGCTTCAATCTGCTCTCAGCTGCTTCAGGATGATACTTTCACCTCGGGCCCTGCACAGTCAGAATGGACCTGATTACCAACGCGTTTGGCATCAAGCCTATATGTTCCCCTGAAAATAATCAATTCCCTTACGTTGGTCAAGCAGTGACCACCTTTTGGAACTGGGTTTTATTCAGTCTCAACGGTAGAACAAATACAAAGCCACATCGCTGCCACAAACTACAAAGAAACCCGATTTAGCCAGTAAGGGGCCTTCTGTTTGATAGTCCATGACTTTTTGGGGATACTACCGTGTTTTAAATGAAGCTAAATGGCAGAGTAAGAGAGAGCTTCTCTCGTATACAGAAACAGATTAAAGGTCAAGTAATAACACTCCATTTTTGATCATTTCATCTTTACTATTCGGAAGGTTCCCAATACCCTAGTATCGACACAATTTCATTACGTGTCTGAAGACTAATCCTTATCATTTCAATCGTGTAATGGGATCGATAAGGCGAGATCCTGGCACTAGTAGTTTATCTAGACAATCATGCCCATTTTAGCTTTCTTCCGCCACTTGCAATATTGATCGTGTCAAAAGGAATGTTCTAATCTGTGAACAACGTTAAACATATCATGCATTGTATCGAAATTGAACAACTTGACAGTGAATCCTAGCTCAAGGTATTGGTAGTATCATCCGCCGTATATCGCGAATGTGCACCACGGGCACTTTACACCTTGCGAAAATATGAGTTGGCGATCCTGAAACCTTATAATCTTTTGCGATCTGGTGTGGCTTCAAGGGTCCACGCTTCGCCGTTGTAACAGCCTAGCTTATTGAGAGTTTTCTTTGTAAGTGATCCGGCCATAAGAAAAAAACAGATAATTAACTGAATGTCAGGGGAGCTTCAAAGATTGACTCATGAGGGTAATAGATAATTTGCGGTTGATGTAAGAAGTACCTCTACAATATTTCGCCACGGTTACTCCGTTCGCCACGGTATATATACGTTAGTCAGTCCCTTAAACTCACCTGAAATCTATGCTACTATTTGCTCTTTACTTATGGTTAAATCAGTTCCCAAAACTCCCCTGGTATGTTGGCTTGTGACAACGGCCAACCGTGGGCCCTTGAAACCCCCTGGATCGCGAATATGCTATCCATACGTCGTTAACGTTACAAAATGCCTCAGTACATTCCTTTCTATTCTTCATTAGAATGGCGAGTCCGGGTCCTATCCACAATTCCGTCTGCCTACTAGAACTACTGGCCATTACTGTCCTAGCTTACTCCGACGTACTCCTACTGCGATCTTCATGCCCGTCATGCCTAAGTCACGTAACGTGCGTCCCGCCTCGACCGTGTCCCGTCGCACCGGCTCAGGATTGAGGCACTTTGAAAGACAAAGCCGGCAAAGTCACCAAGTGGTGTCAGGCCATTAAGCTCAATACGAATATCCTTCACGGCGACCAGTTGATTGAAGGCGCCAATTGAAATCATATCTCCACCTCATTGGAGTTCGATATCTATTTCCATCAGAGCTGCACCACTATGGACTCATTATATCTCACCAGAGTGACGTTCATAATAAATACCTTTAAATGACCCATGCGCTCGTTTGCGAGATGTCAGTACAGACAGGTCCACGGGCGGGGTTGGCGTGAACTAAGGCAAAAAAGAGAATGACAGCAAACTCTCAAGAGAGCCGCAGCCATGCTATTGACACTCCATTGCACTAAATGCAATGTTATTATTAGCGCATGGCCTTCCGCTGATGTGAAAATGGAAATTTCAAATTTAGTCACCAGCCCGGGTATGGCACCAGCCCGGGTATGGGTTGGATTTGGGGGGAACGAGAAAAAGATGATTCCTAACATATTCTAGATTTGTCACTGTGTTATCAACATTTAGCACGCATATGCAGCAAAGAAATGTAGTGGAAGTCAAAATTATACATTAATGTAGAAATGGAAGCGATACCGTGCTGGATTTCAAGGAAGCCCAAGGGCTAGCACTGTAGAGCATCAAACATTATTAGGCATGGCTTTGTATAGCAGGTGCGTAGCGGCCATTCTCCAGTGCATAATTATTAAGCAAGATTTACTGGCAGAATTTACGACCAAGTCACGTTTCTCCACAATTAAACTATGTACTTTCGAAGTAGCCACATAATCTCTCATAAGGGCTTATCAAATTCACGTTTACAATAATCTATCTAACTCATAAGGGCTTAGTTATGAGGCAGAATTAAGGCTAGCTTAGGAGGGGGGAAGGGGGTGGAAAAGGGAAGAAATAATCCTTAACGGAGGTAGAGGAGGCCAAGTATTAAGGAGAGAGAATGATCACATGACTAAGATTCAGGGATTTTCACGTGATTTTGCCTAAAAGGTAAGGTATCAGTAGAAGGGCGGACCCAGAGGCGGTCAATCATATACATGATTTAGCACCAGTCTTGCTTAATAATTATGCACTGGAGAATGGCCGCTACGCACCGCCGTATTGGTTCTCCATACCACCGCTACAACTTCAACACTGCCTGGCTCAGGCAAGTATTTAGGCACATTGAAGTCCGACAGGTACTAACACCGCGCCCAGAAAGTTTGCCAGGAGTACGGTGCCGCTTTTGAGTCCCCGATATCGAGAAGCCATCCTTTAAGAACTTATCTTCCAAGAATTATAGGAAATCTGCACTGTGGATTAGACAAAGCATCCTAGATAATTTTGTCGTATTGTGTGGACCTCTTCCTTCGCGTATTAAGGACACCTCTTAGCAAATTGACTTCAGATGCAAGGGCCTTTGTTCGGTCGTTTATAGCTTGCTTTATATTATCACAAAAAGGTAGCCCCCTCCCCCCGTCAATGGCCCCTCCTCTTTCAAGGCAATTTTGACTGACCATGGGAAAGTTATAAGTCGCAATGCTATAAAAACGGGCTATCTAGAACATTGCACAAGGAAACACAGAATAAGTCTGGAAGAATGGGAGGTCACCATACTCGAAAATCTTGACTGGAACCTACAGATGTCTACTTGGTTTGAAGCGATGGCAAATGTCACAGAGCAGGGGGTAGAACCCGTTGATAGGGAGAGTCAGGAGTCGTGTAAAGAATACAGGGGGTTATATTTTCCAAGAATACCCAGAAACGTGCCATCATGTATTCCTTGTATTATCAATATGACTGACACATCAATGCCCCACGTTATAATTGCCCCCTAATGAAGAATTTCTTACCTTCTCTCCACACTTATGCATGGCGCCTACCACAGTCCCTGATTATAATGCGCTCCTCGGAATTCCCCTGTCTGCGGATTCGGTTATTATCAAGTTGACATACAAAGGATTGGCCTCGGCTAAGCATCCAGACCGTCGAAGGGACGAGCCTAATGCGATGGCTGAATTCAAGTGGTCAGCTTGAGTACTAGCATTCCAAACTTCTGTTATCACTGATGCTATGATGAGCTTCAGGAAGCATACGAGCGCCTTTATTATGTCGACAAGCGCCGAGAATACGACAGGATATATTAATCAGAAATACGTCCTACTGAAATTAAAAATCGAAGCATAGCAGAGCTGGACAAACAGCTTCGAGAGCTCGAGGATAAGCGCGAGGGGCCGAGTTTTGATTAACGAACGTCAAAGAAGAGCCGGTTAGACTATACGCACAGAGAGATAGTCTAAAAAGACAAACAGAACGTATGGTGAGGGAAAAGGCTACCAAGGAGACGTGATGGCTATACTAATGCTCTTTTCTGCCAGGTAAAGCGACAGAATTTGCAAACCGGCAACAACAACTGTCTAGCATAGTTACTGTACCAGGGTAGAAGTATTGTAAAACAGAATCTTATTCTCTGGGCCGGAAATATGGAAGTCCAGGTCTCTTTAAGATGCTCTCCAAACGCTTCCTCGCCTATGTAGCTGGCTTCACGCCTTTCACTTTTATCCTCACCTTAAGCTTCTCTTCTCTCATAGTATAGCAGCATTTATTTTCACAAGAACGCTTTCTTCATCCAAATCACTTGAGCGGAATATGGGTTCTGTCAGCCCACCACAACAATCACAGGGATGTTGACTCTTCGCTCATTGAAAACCCTCTTTCTATAAAAGTGTGTAATCTTACGAAAAAGTATTCTAATCATTGGTTTTGATATCTCATTGGAAGAGCAATTCCTTTTCAACATCTCAGTATTCAAGGGTGGTGTACCACGCCGCCTCAGGAACCGTAGTGATCATATCTTAGGCCTGGTAAAAAATTCGATCAAGAACACGGCCAAGTAGTACCAAAATTCGGCTAATTTGTGAACTGCTTGATGCAAATTTTGAAAGTTTGGGTCTATATCGTCCTGTTCCACGGTAGTTATACATACACTGGCTTCTCTAGTAGTGCGAGGGCCGATATTTTCCTTGTTTGACGAATAAAGCTGAGGAGTCTTCCAAATTTTGTCAACTTCTGCACACAACAAGAACAAACCTACTTACCTCAAGTATCACCTCGCTGCTCTGTATCGGAGGCAAGTGAGTTTCCACGGAGGAGGTCAATCCAGGGTTAGACCGTGTTCGCGGCATTACGCGAATATGAGGTCCAAGCTTTACTTATTTTCGCGGTAGAGCTGCGAGCATCAAGGACATATAAGTAGCAATTCAAAGCTTGATGCCCATTTATTTTCAGAAATCCGGATTGGATGCAGTCTTAGTCTCTTTTTTACTGTGCCTGTATTTGGACAAAGGCAATCGATTGATTGAATTCAAATTTATTTTTATTCGATAAATCTTCTGGGCAGCCCAGTGCTACGCGGCACCGCCGGAATGGAGAACACAAAGGTTGTCCCTAAGCGAACTTGAAGCCAACGGGTGCCCTTCAGACTACCACAATTTCGCAAAATACAGTACTAGTATACGCATAGCTAATCGTTATACGAGTTTGGTCCAACTCACCTTCAACTCTGGGAGTACGTAGTGATATCGAGTCTGGAAGTAAGAACTGTGTTCTATAGCTTCCAGGGGTACATTAGATGTAAATCTGTGTACTGTGGGAAGGAGACCTGCGGATGGCCATGAACGTAATATTCACGCCTAGGGCGTTGGCAACGGCAGCATGTGCGTCTGGGGGTAATCTGTTTTCGAAATCCCCTGTATGTATTCAAGAAATGATTAGTTACTTACCGCTATTACCAAATACTCGCTAATTTAGCAATAAATCGATTTTGTTCCATTCTCTGCACTAAATTATTTCCCGACTTGGTAAGGCTACTTCGTTTTATATGTTCAACTCCAACACACCGTATACGGCTTAGTGTCCTCTACGCAGTGTCTGGAAGGTAATCTGTTTTTGAAAGCTGCTGACTGTATTATGACCTGGAAAAGGACAATTAGTGCCATTCACGGAGTCCCGACCGGTCGTAAATTACTTAAATTACCTTTGGAGCCAGCTAAGTTAATCACATCGCGTGGCTGAGTCACGTCTTACGCGCCACGAACGCGTTGGCACATTGTACATGGGGGGAAGGGGTGTGGGGGTGAGTTTACGAGTAAGTAAATATTCTAATGTTACAATACTCCTAGCCAGAGCCATACCTATCTTGAGTTTTTCAATCTCTCGTACTCACTGCGCTATCTCTTCTTTGACCAAAGATACGGCTTCTTATGATGCATGGACCTGATCTCGTAAAAGGTCATCATCAGAGTGTGTAGTTGTTTGACATGTCACTACTCTCTTGTCCAACCCATAGAGGGGGAGTTGAATAATTCCCCAGGTCGCGCTGTATTCTTAGCTGGGATGTTCAGGAAGCTTATCGAACGCATCCGAGTTTCAAGTAACTCTTATGCTACTTATCCTATGGTATAGAACAACATAGACCTAAAGTCTCGCTTCCGTTAATATTTCCAAGCAGAAGTGGCAAACGCAAATTGAGCTACCCTGTGAAATCGGAGGATCGTTATAATAGGAATATACATGAGAGAATATCGATTACCTGATAATTTGTCACCAGCTGGCTTCAACAGTTCCACTCCTTTCAGCTAATGCATTGGCCCAACAGGTCAATGATGATAAATTATTTGAAAGCTTGCTACTCATCAGTATCTTCTCAGATGGCACAACTGTAGCTGCTGTGTGAGACGAGACGGCGGTATCCAACCCTAAAAAGGGAAGCACGACCATCATCAAAGAGGAGGAAGAAAAAAAGGCCGCAGTACAAAGAGCAAAGCAAACGAAACTTCTTCAATTTTCATGCCTTCTCTTTCACTCCCGCCTCCTGCATTACCGTCAAGCAGGATGGCAATGGCATCTGTTCCTCGTCGTCGAGCTTCATCTCCGGAACCCTCAATTGCGAGCCAAGAATTTGGAAATCATTCCCTCGGGCCGCAGTTTCTGCGAAATCTTTTCCAGGCGGGCAAGGTACGCAAAACTCTTCTCTCGTTCGGTGAGTTAGAGAAGTGGCGTCAAGATAATGAGTACATCCTCGACGGCTATCGTCCAGCGTCAGGCTCCGCTCTAGATTCATTTCGCAGTTGGTTATACATTCACAATGAGTCGGTGAACATATATTCTCACCTAATACCAGCTGTCGCCTTTCTCCTTGGCGAGTGGTACATCCCAGGGTATCTTACAACAAGATACCATAACATTACGGGCAACGATTCCTTCATTTTCACCTTCTTCTTCTTGAGTGCGGTCATCTGTCTGGGGCTGTCAACGACGTACCACACCATGATGAACCACTCCTACAAAGTTGAACAATTTTGCCTGCGTCTTGATCTGGTAGGCATAGTAGTCCTGATGTTAGGTGACTTTGTATCGGGAATCTATATGGTCTTCTGGTGTGAACCATTACAACGCAACATCTACTGGTCCATGGTGAGCTAATAGAGATGCAGCCATTCTTTAACCTTATATCCCATACTCACTTTGACAGACTGGAATTCTAGGATTGCTTACCATCTACATAATGGTCAATCCGAAATTTCAGGGCCCGGCATTTCGGGAGTTCCGGGCGCTTACGTTCGTGACAACTGGTCTTTCTGGCTTTGCACCATTAATTCATGGCATCAAGATGTTTGGTGTTTCACAAATGATGAAACAATCAGGATTGCCCTATTATTTGATCGAAGGAGGCCTACTTCTATCCGGGGCTTGGATTTATGTAGTATGCCTCCAACTTCGCACATGATGGAGACTGATTCTAACTACTACGATTCGACAGAATAAGTTTCCGGAGAGATGGTACCCAGGTAAATTCAATATATACGGCTCATCCCATCAACTCTTCCACATCCTGGTGGTTTTCGCTGTTGTTGCTCAATTGACAGGGATATTGTGGGCTTTCGACTATAACTACACCAATCGAACGTGCGTTTAGAACTCCTCAAGAACAACATTGCCACAATCACAGCACCACCCAGGGTTGGTCTCTCAGCCCTGCAAGATAGACATAGACGCCGAACGGCAAAAACTACCACACTAGTTTGGAAAGCAATAGCTCCTAGCTGAGAGCTGGATGCCCTACTTGCATTTTATGGAGGAGGATATCTCCGACAACGCTGTATTGTACTGTACAGTCCCAGTACATCATTTCAATGGTTCCTTCTCCCATGAATCGTAAGAAATAGCAAGAAACGTCAGCATGGGCAAAATAGACACCCATTTCTCTTGTTTTCTCATCCGGTATACACTTTCTTGCTGAAATAATTACCCCGCCTTACCTTATTTACAATAAATCAGAAATTAGCATGAGGTGTCTCCAATGTAAGAGCTGTTTATTCGCAAACCAATACCGTGATTATTCCCTTGGAGACTTGGAACCTACTTTTTGATATCTTCCGTCTTGTCACAACTTTGGTATTGATCTTCACCCGATACGAACCTCTACTATTTCATGAAAGTGAAACGACCTAGTTGTTGTCGGAAATATATTTATTTGATAACGCAGCTTGAAACGACCGACTTTGCACGGCTAGAAATTTTTCATCATCGACGGCTCAAAATAGCCGAGATGGAAACGTATCTCTCCCGTGCCACTCTAGATTGACAAACCGTGACAGACATCGCTGAAGATGTCCGCGAAACATCGAGCTTGGCGGAGCTTGCCATTGTCAACATCTACGAAGATCCTGGAGTTCCGGGCAGATCTCAATGCCAAACAAAGCTTGATCATAAACATCACTAGCGTCCACATGCGGCCATAGCAAAGTGATGAGATTCCACTCCGAAAGTCCCCTACATCTAGCTACAAGATACGGTACTGCTGATGTGGGTGAAGGACGTGTACACTAGCCTGGACAATACAAACCGTAAACGGCCTCTTTCCTAGCAGCTTACTATGGGCACATATCTATGGCAAAGTTTCTCATTAATGGAACGGACGTAAATGTCACTTCAATGATAAAATATGGCTTCAACCCGCTGTGTTGGCAGCGACCATCAAGGCCACCGCGCAATGGCGGCACTTATTTATCTTGTCAACTCAAGTATGCTTTCTGTCAAAATGAAACCGGTCTTCTCATCAGCACTTTCCTGAACCGCCTAGAGCTGTAGCTCAGTTCTGCAATCAATATACAGCCCCTGTCGACAGGTAATACGATTTCAAACAGTCGGGAACATGCAGCATCTTGAAATAAGAGAGGCGGTAAAGTAGTTCACGGGCTGACCACTCGCACCAAAGACTCTACTCACTTTGCTCTACTATTCAACTATCTTTGCTTTTTGAAGTCATTTGGGAATAGAATTTCGACACTTTACAATTAAGTACTACTTAGAATTTACGTTTGAGACATAGGGTATATATTTTCATCCATACCTGAAGTGATCTTCCCAGCTACTTCAGTCATTGTATAAACTGGTATCCTTTTCATATTAATTATACCTGTAAAAATATGAATTTGTAATTTATCGAATTTAGTACATATTTGTTGTTTGGGTGAGGCTCGCCCGTGTGAACGGTCCGCTACTGGTTATGATACGGCACTTGGGCCGTTCCATAGTACTCCGGTCTCGGACTGTACAATTCGTGCCAAAATCTGGCACAGGGGAATGAGGTGAAGTAGTATATACGCCTATGTAGAGAATAGCGCTTAGTAGACCTGATCGGTAGCTAGCTGGCCAAAATAAAGCACTGGTTTTGTTGGACAATTTGTTTTCGCAGTCACTGATATTTCGAGCAAATTTCGTGCAAGCAACAACGTAGCATCGACCATACAACGCGCCAGCAGCCCCTCTGACTTCTTATGGAATGTGAAGAAAGGAGCGTATCTTGGTGGTAGCTCCAGCTTGGGGGAAGACATGCTGTTGCGACCATCAGACCCACTAGTAATGTGCTTTGCCTGCCTTATCAGTTGAATGATGACTTTTGGGAAGGGAATGCAAAATAGAAGATAGTGCCCACAGCGATGAGATAATAGAGGATGCAATTGGCTCAGCTGGGTGCTGTACCTTCATTGGTCGGATAACTGGAAATGACACGACCACTAAGACTAGAAAGGTTTCGATTTCTGAATGCGCGACGTTTAGAACTTTTCCGAGAGTGTTTTGAACCTCTCGCGTGTGGTGACCAAGTACGAATGGGAGCTCCCCGAAAGAGTATCTTCCACAGTGTCATGTTGCCGCATACAAGGTTTCTGGAGCTCAAATCGATATTTTCATGTGCTTCTTTAATGGTCGTTGGAGAACCCAAAAATAGACAGTGTTCACATCCTTTTCTGATAACTGTAGTGGGGAACGGGTCTCTGTGCCCATCTAAATTAGGAACCTAACTTACATGTCCTCGTTCATAATTCTATCGGCACCGTTTTGTTGGCACATGTATCGATTTAGAATCTGAGTTCATAAGGAAAACTGATCTGCACAACCTAAGGCACATTTCGGGCCCTCGTTGACTGCCAATTTTTCACGCGTTTCCATGTCCGTGGCACGGACTTGCCTTGGCGTAAGTTGTCAAGATTAATCTAAGGCCACTAGATCAGCATCAGTCGTCTTCCTATAGATGGTGGAAAGATTTGACCTGATTAAAGCGAGATGACTCTGCAATGGGACGGGACCTGCAATTCTTGGTACTTGATTGAGCCCCAGCACCCAGTGCCTAGAGCGAAGCAAATACCAATCATTTTAACAAGAGTTGAACGGCGTGTTTTATTTTATACCTATGAGCGAAGTCCCAGAAGCATTCTAGATAGAAGGGATGAAAACCTTGAACTAAAAATTCGCTGGTGGTGCATGGAAAAAAATCTTGCGTACGAGTGACATGAACGGAGGCAAACCGCCCCACTTCACCGATGCCATCCACATCCATTACGAATGAATATCCCTGACACAGAGCTCATTGTGCTGAGCTCGATATAGTGACTGGTATGTACCAGAAATAGAGACAGGAGACGGTGCCTAGCAATGCCGACCCAATTAGGTACTGACTCAAAGATAAACAATGCGCTTTCAACCTTACAACCAGGAGAAGGGACACTACAATAGCCATTATCATGTCCTTTTGTTTTTCAATTCTCTCCAAAACCTCAGCAGATGGCTACAAATTGTCTATCTCCTAGCTTAACCTCCTAAAGTATATATCCCCTGGAGAGCGGAGTACCGTAGCAAAATATTGCAAAAGTACTTCTTTAAATGAGTAATGACTGGAGAATACCCATCTTTTGGCTGACAAGCACTATTGGTAGGCAAGCTTTGAACATGAAAAAGAGTATCGCGTTGAAACGTAACTGTGCCTTTGCTGCTGTGTCAGGGATCTATAATGCGTTCAGCCCAGTACAGTAGTTTTCGAATTCAGTTTGACTTCACACTCTTTTGACTAGATTCCCGGAAAAGCCCAGGAAGGGACACGCCGTTGTCAACGTTGGAGACTCGTTACGCTTTGCTTCGGGTCACAACCTGTTCTCGTGTATCCACCAAGTTGTTCCAATCAGCAAGACTGAAGGTCGATACAGTGTCGCCTTCTTCCTTCGGGCAGAGGACGACGCAACATTTGTGGACAGTCAGGGGAAACAAAAAACTTTTAAGGAATTGCATGATGAGAAGTTTGAGCAATTTGTACTTCCTCATGCAGAACAGACGCTATCTGTCGTGTGTGGGGAAATGGAAGGATGAACGGGCCTTACTACGCTGGCAATCTTAAAGCTAGTAAAGACCGCCGACCGAACTCTTGGTCTCATATACCGTTTCTTCAATTCTATTCTTCCTATTTCTGACATCTCCTTTGCCTGTGAGGGTTGGCTACACCCGACAATCAAACCTGTAGTGAGCATTATTTAGCTGCTGGGGATGACTGGCCCACTAATGATATTCTTGAATTTCCGAGCTCTCTCGGAACATAGTATTATCACTTCCTTCACTAGCGAGGGTAAAGCCCACCCAATGGGAAAATCCAGACACCCTTTCCTCAAGTTTTCCTGATGAATTCGAATAATGGGTCAAAACACGTACTGTCGGCGAGCCGATAAGGCCAGTGTAACTGAGTTCATTCTCCCACCCGCTATCCCTAGCATCCTAGCATTGTCCTTGGGAACAGGTCTGCTTAGCCAGGAATGACAGCATTCATCAAAATACCACTGCACCAAACAGTTGCCAGGATCAAGCAATGTATCCGAATCTGCTTACGCAAACACCATATCCGCAAAAACAGCCTTTTAGCATTGAGACAGATAGCTGGGGGGCATCTGCATGGGATCGCCCACAAATCACAGGACGTTGATGAATATCGATTTAGACAAGTTCAATAGATGGTTTTGAATAGAAAATTAATGCAGAGAGCAGTGCTAGTTCTACAGTACCGTACGGAATCCATGGTGCCGAATTTCCAGTCAGTACACATTATAGCTTTGAGAAAGGGGTTTCCAGACGTTTTACCATTGCTGGTATACTCGTATGATCAATCCGATTCAGACTGCCTTGTGGTCGGGTAACTTCTCTCTAATTCCTCTTTCTCATCCACCGTCAATTCACTTTTGGCATGACGAATCCTCACGAATCCCAAAACAATCAAAAGACCAAGAACATAAAGTCCCGTCTGGAACCCAAACACCATTTTATAACTCTTCCACTTGCCGAGACTCTTTGTCTGTGTTTCAATAATATCCGCAAACCCCAGCATAACCGCAATCCCCAGGTGCATGGTGCAATAAATCAACGCACCAGCCAGGCCCTGCTTGGCTTTCGGCATGCTCGTCGTGATGAATATATTGGCAAGATTAAAACTAATGTCGACGGCGATGGTACCGCAAATCATCGCGGGGAACACATAGGCCCAGTAGTTCCCGCCGATAGGGATGATAGCAAATAACAGCCCTAAGCCGACATATCCAAGACACGAGATAATTATCAGTACTGTACCGGATACTTTGTGGAGAAAGAAGCCTCCTGTGACTGAGAGGATGAGGCCACCAACTGCCATAGGGGAGGTCCAGGCGACGACTTGGAGAGGGGTGGCGCTCATGAAAGCTGACATGCTGCATGGATTAGCAATGACCAGGGTGAATAAGCCATTGAAGGGGGCCACTCACTACAAGACTCCGTATAGAAGGAAAATGCCCACACTTCCGTAAAGACAGAGCAATGCCAGTATCAAAGGCGTCATAAACTTGACCCGGAAAATGTCACCAGGAAGCAAAGGGTTATCAATCACCCACGCTTCCAGGTACACCATGACGCCCAGCAAGGTGGCACCTATCGAGAAAAGGACCGGGATATAAGGAGTCCTCCAACCATGCGGGGCGTACGAGCTATCCGCAATAGCGAAAACAAAGACCGCCGCTCCTGAGATGGACAAGAAAAAACCAACCCAATCCATCCGTATTCCAAGCTCTCGTTTCTCGGCATAATCACGGTGGATATAAAAAAGCGACGGAACCGCCATCACCGCCGATAAGACGGCACCAATGAAGAAATACCATCTCCAAGTTAGGTACTGGGCACATATTCCAGAGACCAAAAATCCGGCAAAAAAGCCCAACGCCGCACATGCACCGTAAATACTAAACACCAAGTTCTTCCGGGGCCCTGGGCGGTATCTACTTCCCAGAATCATCAATCCAGATGGGAGCAGGGCTCCGAGAGCCAGCCCTTGCAGGGCTCGACAGGCAACCAATGTCAACCATGTCTGAGACACACCGCAGAGAATTGACGAAATGGTAAGCCATATGGCGCCCGCGTTATAGACGATGTAGCCACCGTACATGTCGATCAAGCGGCCAAAGATGAGAAGTGTTGAGGTGACAGTAAGAGAGAGGGCGGTTGTGGTCCATATTGTCGAGGCATCCGGTATATCTAGTTCTTTTACAAGAGTTGGGAGAAGAATGTTGGACCCTGATATGAAGAATTCCTGTCGAGGTAGTACGTTAGCTCGTTCCACTCGTTGAGTGCGGAGTAGCGACTCACTGCTAGGATTTGGGACATCACAATCGAAAAACAAAAGGCTAGCTCAGGCCAGAGCCCTGGAAAGGCTTTGGGACGCTCTTTTCCCAGCTTTTCCAGATCAAGTATACTTGACGTTGCAACTGGCTGCTCTTCGGATGTCATCATGCTGAAGTCAGTGGTTGAAATTGGCCCATTGAAACTTGACTGCATTGTGTTCTTGAAATCGACATACCAACGCTAGCCTAGCGGTTTTCTCCACGAGGGGGCCAACCCCCTTCTTATAAGATAAGGCCCTGCGTACCGTGGCAACCTTAATTGTTCGGCAGTCACAACTCATCTGCTCCCAGATTCCCGGATCGTGCCTCCCAGGAATCAATGAAAATTGTGGCCTTGCATGCGTCTAAAGTAAGTTAGTGACGGGCCCGTGATAGACTAATTATAACAGCCATAATGGTTCAATGATATATATTGCGATATTAATTCATGTCTCTTGCATGGTTTAATCTTGAACAATTTCCATCAATCTTCTATTCGTTGGATAATGACTGAATAAACCAACATCAGCCTAAATCACGGTTCAATCAGCTGCCACCGCCGAGGGAAGACAAGCCACGCCATGAGATGGGTGATTTCTTTGTATATAATGTATTACTTTTCGCGCTGGAAAATTGACTATAGATCTTGGAGCTGAAGGCAGCATTCGGAAAATCGTCCAATTACATGGATTTCGTGTTCCGCGAGCCTTTACTTCATGTACTGTCCGTGGACCGTCGGTCCATTTCGTCGTACTATTCGTCAAACCATTCGTGGCTGGTTTCATGGAGTGCAGGTCAAAAGAAATATCCCCTTAGATCCACATGGTGAGCATATTCCGCGTTGGTCTCTTTTTAATTCTATGTAGAGGGCCGTACTACAGGGAATTGTGTGAAGGGTGTAAAGTTGGTCATTGTTGCAGCTCGAACCAATAATTAGCCTTGGCAAGGCCAGATGATTACCAACGGTTCTTAAACAGGAACTAATTGTTTTAGCTTTTTTATCCGAGCGGCTCCCTATACGACATCATTTCATGACTCGCAGGCTATCCCGACCGAGTGAGCGCAGCGCAATAATTTTGATCATTCACTTTGTGTTCCTCCTTGATTCTTAGTCTTGTGATGCAAGGTGCACAGTAAGATCAGGGCTGATATGCTGAAGACGATTATTCTCTTTTCTCCTAATCAAGTTATTCCTGCACAAGTGGGCTGGGTGACCACCGTTGTGAGGTTAAGAAGAGCGAGAACAGACGAACCTATGGAGGGCATTTAATTGGGAACGGTTTATTTTTATGTATGTAACAGTACATGACCCTACTCCTCAATACTTCCATCAATGTCACTATACGATCCTGGAACAAATCCTTGATTACGGACTGATCTATATCAGGGCTAGCGTCTTCTGTAACTAACGTTTGAAAAAGCGTCTCTATTTCCAGATAGGGAAGGCAATAACGGGCGGCACTGTCCAACTCAAGAATAACATAACCATAGATTGCTAACATGACTAGCAGCTAGGGATGAGGGAGGGGTTGAGAAAAGATAACGTAATTTGTTTTCGTTCTCACACTGAAGTCAATGGCTCCGCTAAAGTTCAAGGCAAGCTGAAGTCGTTCAGTCTCTGTTGAAGCCCAGGAATCGGAATAATAGGGGATCTTGCTGCCGAGAGCTCGTACGGGGACTGCACAGATGACAGTCTTGTTGGGATACAATGTGATCGTGAACAAATCCCGTACCGTGGATACTTGATCGGTTCTAACTCATGCCATCGGCAGTACGCCCGAGAACGACGTTTTCCGCAATTCATACATCTTAAGTCCTCCCTCGGCTTTGTTTGCAAGCTCGTATAAGGAGGAGGTTGCATCAAACTGCCCTGCTCGGGAGGCTCCGGATCATATGAGTCTACCATTGGAGAGGTTGCGTGTCGCGACCAACTGAGACGTAAGAGCATGAACCTTGCGGAGCGCCTTCAATCAACACACCTATCTGATAGTCGAAACCACACGCCGGTCATGAATCGCATGCCAGTTTCAGACTTTGTATTCTACGGACATGAAGTATGTGTTGCCACTTCTGATCGTCTTATAAGGTTGAAAATTAGATTAAACCAACGAACACCATAAATAGACTTGTGAACACAAATGCACCTATAACAGTAAAAGCAAACTAGTCTATCACGCTGTCGGCATTATTTTTAGCAACAAGAAAATGAGACTGGTCGCAAAGATGGTTACGGAAACTGTTCTATACCGATCTAGACGATTTGGAACCAAAATGAATTCACCCTGGTGGTATTTGCCTTGCAGTCATCTTTATTTAGTAACTCTCTGGGTCATGTAAGCATAGTGGGACAATCCAGGAATATCACGCTCTTGGAAAAATTAGAAGTTCGTGACGACAATAAATACATCTAAGGATCTTGTATTTATCTACATCCATAGTCCCACGGGGTGTTGACACAACGGAAGACTCCAATTTGACCACGATGACAGAGCTGTGCTGTGCGAGAGATTTTGTTGCAAAATACGTCCAGTTCACTCATAAATGTTCAAAGGGTATTATTCTAACATCAGTTACCCAGCGTTCTTCCACTCTACTGTGGTCCCTATGTCAGATTGCAAGTGGCGTCCAGTGACCGAGAATATACGGTGTCTAAAAGTCTTTTCTGTACCATGTCGTCGTACTTCTCAGCAATGCTTGAGGGGCCAATTCTAGAGACCCAACACAGTGTGTTCACTCTCCAAAAAGTTGAAGGCGTCGTTTCAGATCAGAGCTTAGAGGCTCTGATTCAGTGGTTGTACCTCCGTGCGGTAGTTTTCGCCGTGGATGACCCTACAGAGCAGATCTCCGCAGCAATAGAGCTAGCAAGGCTGGCCGATATGTGTCGTATCAGTGGGTTAGCAGCGCCCATGGCCGAGTATATCCAAAAGGTTGTTCTCAGTAACCCAAGCCCCGAGTCTGATCCTTATTGGCGGCACGCAGATACCAATACCCACTATATAACTTCCCAACACATTGCTTCCGCATGCACGCTACCACCAAAACACCCTGTTCGTCATGTCCTCGCTAAAGCGTCGGTGGAGGGATATCTTCGGCAACAAGATTACAAATTCTTTGAGGAGACCCAACTTTATCCCTCCTTTGGGGCTGACTTGCTCGCAGAAGTGAGCATGGCCCTCGGTGGCCTTATATCCAATAGCAATGTGGCTTTTGAGGATCCTATCAGTGGAGTCAGAGTGGAACTCAATACACGGAAATCAATACAATGGGGCACTGCTGATAATGGAATGACAAGTTAATGTTACGTCACCATAGTGATAATTAGATGAATTTCGTGCAGTACACGTTGTCCTTGTTGGAAAGCAGAATGCATTCATCCTCGCCAGAGGGTAAAGCATGGATGTGCGAAAATTTTTGACCCAATCATTTGTGAATTATTTTATGATAGAAAGACAATCTTACTGGCTCAACCGATTGAGAGACTCTACAAAGACAGGAAATTTGCACCTGAGTACTGATGTAAATGTGATCTTTAAGAAGTGGGACCAACAAATGTATAGTACTCTAGGTGCAGCAGCTCCACCTGCTTGGTCAATATCAGCAAGGAAGACGAATGACTCGTCTTGACCACTATGGCAGTTCCAACCAACGGTCGGCCCTGTAAGTTAAGTTGGTCTTCTCACAGAACAGTGAGAGCGCAACTACAACAAGACTAAATGAAGAAAAAGGCTTGCGCAGAGGAATTGCCCTGAGGAAATTGTCCGACATTCGTAAACAGCGTCTTTACATAATCATCCGCAGTGATCTAAAAATGGCGGTCCACAAAATACACCAAAGACAAAAATGGCCGTCAAGAGCAGATCCGGTATGAGACTCGATATTTGATTTTCTGGGAGCCTGGATTTCATATTCTAAGTTGGATATCAGTGGACTGTTTCCGCTGTAGACGGGTGACCTACTTACTGTATTCGAGGTTTATCGCGAATAACCCATGCCGCGCAGAATACTAAAATCATGGCCGATTGATGAAGACTTAAGCTTAAGTAATGATGACGATATATCAAAGTCGCTCTGGAGGCTTCCTTGTAGCAGCGACATATCGTCGGTTAAAGCGCACAATCGACGATGCCAGGTTCTTCCCATAGACCATGCTTCCACAGGCCTGCGAGAGCCGCCAAAGAGCGTGCGCCTTATGCTGTCCGTCAGTAATGGTCGAGTTGAAAACCTGGGCCAAGATGCAGGGTCAGACTTGCAAGAAATTTCGCGTCTAGCCGACCCGCAGAGCTTGCCAGGAGGACAAAACGACGTAGTAGCTACGACCTCCGGAGTTCTGATACGCGAGTCTCATGACGACGACGGGCCACCATTCCTTATGTTGCAAAGCGCCACCTCGTTGGATGAGCTTTTTGAGCGGGCTCGAGTTCACGGAGTGAACCTGTCAGACTATCCCACTGGGTTGTTTTTAACAAAATCTGTGCTCAAGAGGACGCACCCCGAACAGTGGGAATTGAGAGAGATGGGGATCTTATCCTCCTCTTCGGGGCAGACTCCATCGCCCGGATCGTGGGAGTATTTTGAGCACCTTGTATCAAATGACAGAAGAAGATCATTAGACTGGAATGTCCAAAGCTACTGCGACCATTACGCATACGAGTTGTTTATTTGTGCTTACATAACAGGGGCAATTCTCACACAGTGTCCAATGGCACCGTTATTTGACAGGAAACGGTATGATGTGCTGCTACTGGCTCCCATGGACCACCAAAACCCACAATGGAGCGCTATGCATCGTGGTCTTTGGCGGATCTGGAGCTTTTGCCGAATTTTCGGATCAGGTAAAGGGCGCGAGTGTGATCTCCAAGGTCAAAAAGCCTGGTTGGAGGGATGTGCCACCGATGGAAGCAACACATGTGCTCTTCGTCGGACCAGTTTTCAGAGTGAAGTCCTCGATAATCCTCCAGAATCATTCGGCTGGGGCAATCAGGGCGGATTATCGATTGACGAATTAAAAGACATGATGTTCTTTTGGCGCTGTCTACAGCGTCTACTACGAGATCGTGTAGAGAGAGATTCGGTTCCAGAATTTCTGTGCATTGGTCAAGGAACAAGTTTTGTTGAGGTAAACAAGACTGGTTGGAGGGTTACGGACCACGGAATAGACTCATTACTAGCCTTAGG